ATCTTCAAGGGAGGAACGAACGCCTTAGGAGATGAGGCCGGTGAGTCGTCATCTGGCCCTCTGGCTCCCCCAGACTCCTGCTCTGTCCACTCCTGTCCTGTTCCACCTCATGCTCTTTACTCCTTCGCATTCAATTTTTTTTTCTAAGTTTGTCTCCTGTAGCTACTCTACATCCTATATTGATCTTTTTCTTTTTTGTCTTTTTTCATTATTTAGAATTTGATTGTGTCTAACCAGAACTTGGGTCTTCCCAGGTGGTGCTAGTGGTAAAGAACTTGCCTGCCAGTGCAGGAGATGTAAGGGATGCAGGTTTGACCCCTGGTCAGGAAGCTCCTCTGGAAGAGCACATGGCAACCCACTCCAGTGTTCTTGCCTGGAGAACCTCGTGGGCAGAGGAGCCTGGCGGGCTACAGTCCATAAGGTCGAAGAGTCAGACACGACTGAAGTCACTTAGCACGCTCACATGCAGTTGGAGCGTAGACAGCTTTGGGCTCTTTCCCAAACCCCCTGGACTCTTCCTGACCATCCTGCCCCACTTCTCATTTTTCTTATTCTTCCTCTCCAATCCCACCCAGACTGTATATCTGCCTCTGTATACGCTTTTCTTTGACCATTTTTGTTTGTTGGATGGGTGCGTTCTGTCTATCTTGACCCTTTTCTCCTTCCTCTTAAGTGTGTGGGGTAAAGCGGGAAAAAGAATTAACTTGAGCTGTGGGAAAAGATTGAGTTAAAAATGAACCACTGATAATTGGAAAAGTAATTTTAAGTTTAAAGCCTAACAAATGCATAAAATTGAAATTTAATTGATATAGGCAAGCAGTTATGCAAATAGTGCTTTTTGCCCATCATCTCATTTTGGTCAATTACATACTTTTTTTAATAGAACAACCAGCATTTTCTCCAGTGTCTTTAACAGTATTATACATTCTTAAAAAAATAAACAGAGGAAATCTTTTTTAGTCTATTTAAAGTACTGTGGTTGAAAAGGCAATTATGTGCCTTCTGGCAGTTTTAGGAGAGTAGCTATTCCCAAATGGAGCCTCCAAGGACAATTGCCAAAGCCCAGAGGAAAATCATTGGTGTGTAAACATCTTAGCCCAGCAGGGGTCTCCCAGCAGGGGTTGTTCACACCCAGTAAATACTGCTTAGGGTTAGAGCTTTCTGGAAGTCACTGGCAGAGGAAGTTCTGGTGTTGCTGCCAAGATTTGATGTTTGCTGCTTGGGGCTCTAGGGGACACAGCGTGTGGCTCCACCACATCAGGAATCACAAGATCCAGCTCCACTGAGCCCACTGGGACTTTCTTTGAAAGGACTCTTGGAGAAATAGTGAAAGCAGGATTTCATGCATAGACAATGTCGGTGTTCACAGACAACTGGAGAAACATTTCGTTTAGTGTGTCTTAACTATGGTTAAACACACACACATTTGGCTGGCTCAGGTGTATAGAAATGCAGAAGGTGAGCCTTACACCCAGTTGCATCCCCATCTGTCCCTAGGCATAGACGTAACCTGCCAGGAGAAGGTACAAAAAGCAGCAAGTGGAAGATGTATCAAGTATGACTCAGTTTTACCCATTTCCCTAGAGAAGAGCAGGAAGAAAGCTAGAAGGGTGGTGGGGCAACTCGAAAAACTTGCTTAAGTGTCACCAGGGACGGGGTGATGTGGAAAATATAAGATCAAAGGCCTCCAGGGCTAGAAGTCATCCATGCCAGCACTGCAGTGTGTGACTTTCACAGCACCCTCCCCTGCCTCCTCCCCCAAAAAGAGTCTATTCTGTTAGAGTGGAATAGCTACAGTTCTCCTTGTGATCGGGCAGATGAGGCTGGGCTGAAGGTTACACTAGAGTCTGATCATCATCTCAGGGCTGAGGAGCGGCAAAGGTAGGGAAGTGGGGTTGGAAAGACCTGAATGCATTCTTGCTTTGTCTTCCACACTGTGCTAGGGGCAAATTTTCCTAACCTCCCTGGGCCCTAATTTCCTTGTCTCTGAGATATATACTTACATACCTCCAGGAGTTTTTCCAAGGATTGAGTGAGGCAATATTAGTAAATGACCAGTTAGTCACTTAATAATAGGAACAGCTATTATTTTTATTCGCAAACATATGTAAAGTTTTCTTCCATTAGATTTGCAAGACAAACAGAAATTCGAGGAATAAATTATGCATCCCCTGGCTCTAGTCCAAATTATTAATGTTCAGATGAATCTGGGCAACTTGAGTTTGCTCACTTGAAAGTCAATGAACTGAAATCCACATGTCAGAGGTGGATCCCACCTCTGGGAAAATGAAAAGCTTGTTCATGGAGATGCCCCTGCCCTGTGCTAGCTTGAGGTGGAGGAGATTTATTTTTGCACTACACCAGATAAAGAAATTGCTTTAAGAATGTTCAGGCATTCAAACCTCTCTAGTGTTCACCCACTTCCACCCCTCTTCTTTCCTACTTCTCTTTCCAGCCTTGGGTGCGGCTTGTGGGATTTTAGTTACCTGGCCAGGCATTGAACCCAGGGCCTTGGCAGTGAGAGCACTGAGTCCTAACTGCTGAACCACCAAGGAAATCCCCTTCCTCCGTATTCAAACTTTCAAAATACACAGGTTAACTCCCCCAGCCATGCTGTTTTTTGTTTTGTTTTGTTTTGTTTTCCATCTCAGAACTATTTCTCATTTTCTTTTAACAAGTGTTCTAGAATTCCACATTAGAAAGCTCTAGGGAGCAAAAATCTTTAAAAAGCTGAGAATTAAAAAAAAGAAAGAAAAAAAAAAAGCCTTGAATATTTAAGTGCTGTTTTTCCCCCATGAAAACTCTGCTTTTACCTTTAGAACCAGTAATAGTTATAAATTAACCCTCACCTTACCATCTGCTGCTAGGTTGTAATTTCTCCATGATTCAAAGAGAGACAGGGTTTTGAGCTAGAATGCGAGGCTGGATTTTAAACAATACCTACATTGGTTCCTAACTAAGCTAATTTCTCATTTGGCAGGCACCATTTTTCCAATCAAATCACTACAGTCAAAGCTAATTTTTAGTTTTCTTTGATGCTGTGGTATCTTATCTGTATAATAATCAGAAGCTCTATTGCAAAACAAAAGCAGCAAAACAAACAAAAGCAGGCAATACAGAAGTCTTCAGAAGAGCACTCTGAAACATCTATTTCTGGATCCCAGTTTATCTCTTCTGCCCTATTTTCAAAAGTTAAATAAGCTCTCATGTTTAGTTTATAGCAGGGAAAGGCTTAGCTATATTGGTAGAAGAACCTTAAGCTCTGTTCAACTTTAAGGATAAGAATTAGCCAATATCAAAGCAAAAAGGAGGAGGAAGGGAGGGAGGAGAAAAGAGATCTCAGTACCCAAAACCTTTCCATTTTTGGAGCTGGAAAGACCTGGGACAGATACAATAGGGAGAGGAGAGGGGAGGTAGGAATGGAGATAGAGATCCTGTTTTTGAATAATACTGGAAAGAATAGCAGTGTTAGCTGTATGTACATTTTGTAAAATATTCTGGCCTTTTCTGCTCTGAAGCTTAAAACAACATGGAGACAAGGACTGGCTGTCAACATATTACATTGGGTTTTCTGACTTGTCTTTGCCAGCTAGTTCACGTGCTTGGTTATTTAAAGCTGTACTGATTTTAAGAGGAGTTGGGTCTTTGTTCCACATTCATGAATTCTGAATTCAGGTTAGTGAGCTATTAGAAAATGCCTAACTCTTGTTGGCGAAATGCTTTGGAGGGGTCGTCATGGATATAAGTGACTAAATATCCTGGGTTTCCAGGGCAGTCCCAGCTGAAAAACCTGTTCCAGTGAGAGTACCTGTGGTCTCATTTTTAGTTCCACGAAGCCGTATCCACGAAGGGTTCAGGTCTTGCTTCTGCAAGTCTTAGTGCCTGGGTCGGTGTTCAGCTTATTTAGAGACCTGTGCTTAACAGTGGCACTAGTGGTAAAGAACCCACCTGCCAATGCAGAAGACGTAAGAGATACGGGTTCAACCCCTGGGTCAGGAAGATCCCCCAGAAGAGGGCATGGCAACCCACTCCAGTATTCTTGCCTGGAGAATTCCATGGACAGAGAAGCCTGGTGGGCTAAAGTCCATAGGGTCGCAGAGAATCGGTTATGGCTGAACTGACTTAACAGATACACACACATACCCCACCCCACCCCCGCCCTTGGAGAGCCATCTCCCACCACAGAAACCCGTGTGAGTTTGACTCGATCCAGGGTCACAATTTAGACAGTGACCCCGAGTGGCACTTTTGCAGAGCAAATTATGTGAGGATCTGCTGAGGGCGTGTGGGGCTCCAAGGAAGGAAGGCTATCCGAGGAACTCGTTTACTGTGGAATCAAAACGAATGATGACAAGGGGTTTCTCAAACTGTTTTCTTAGCTGCACTACCACTTTGCTAAACGATTTTGCTTTGAGTTGGCCCCAGAGTTCATTCAGGTCTTCCCATTAGCTGTTATGGAAGAAACAGAATGAACTTTGGGGCCAACTCAATGTATGGAACCTTAGCATATGAAATGGGTCACAGCTGAGCCAGGCAGCTAGAAACCACACCTTGGGCCTCCCCATCCCACTGGGCAGGCCTGGGTAGTCTGAAACTCAGCAGCAGAGACCAGAGACAGTGCCAACACCCAGGCGTCCGTCTCAGCCTGTTCCCACTCAGCCAGGCTGGGGACCAGCTTTGCTTGTGGAAATTCTCTGGAGAGGACCTTTGGCTCTTTGTCCCCGTGCGTTTCTGGGTGTCGGGGGCAGTCTCCCCCCAGGATTTGTGAGTGCACCTTCATGACTACAGGTCTGTTTGGTTGGGTGGGTTCTCCAGACGCAGCTCTGAACTGTGTGGTTTGCCATGGTGTAGCTTCTGGTGCTTGGCTCATCCTCTGTCCTCTGGGCTCCTGGGTGTGGCTGGACAACAGTCTGAGCAGGATGGTGGCAGTGGGGAACTTGTCACTCAGTTCTCTTACCTGAGCCGAATGTCTCCTGATTACATTTTGTTTTGTTCACTAGATGATGACTCAGATCTGTATTCTCCTCGATATTCCTTTTCTGAAGACAGTAAGTGGCTTAGAATTTCTTGGTTGTGGGGGTGGAAGGGAGAGTGGTGGACAAGGGAAGGATCTCCCTGTTTTCATCCATTTTAAAAGTTTTTTGCACTCACTTTTTCCTTCTCCAGCAAAATCTCCCCTTTCTGTGCCTCGCTCAAAAAGTGAGATGAGCTGCATTGATGGTGAGAAGGTAGTTAAGAGGTCGGCCACACTTCCCCTCCCGACCCGCTCTTCCTCACTAAAATCAAGCCCAGAGAGGTAAGTGTTCTCATCAGCTCCATGATTTTAGGCTGTAATACACAATCTCTTTCTCTGAGTCAGACAGCATTGGAGCTAGGCGTCAAGCAGACCTGAGTTTGAATCCCTGCTCTATCACTTATTAGCAGTGATTTATTTTTTTGACTCTTAATGTTCTCATCTGTCAAATGGGGAAACATTTTACATTCCTTGGGATACTGCAAAGATAAAACAAGATAATGCATGTAACATATCCTGTAGTCCTGGCTCATCAGATGGGCTTAATGTTGAGAATAATTATCATCACTCTTTCCCTCTTCACAAGAGGAATCTTGAACTATAAGATTTGTCATGTGCTTTAATACTCTCTGTGCATACTGATGGGGCCCATAGCAGAGAATATAATTTTAAAATGAAGCTACACTTTTTAGTATCTCTTTATTTATTCAACACATTATCGAAACATAAGGCTTGATGGTTGAAATGATATTTGTCATCTCTTAATGCCCACACTAAGTGAACCAGTTGTCTTTTATTGAGTCTTATGCCCTTGGGAGCAGCTTCCAGGGCATCTGGACTGGTGTCCCAGGCATCTCCCAGTTCCATCTTCTAACACTTCTCAACCCCAAATGGGTTCTGGCTAAACAAAATTATTTTCCCTTTAAATACACACTGTTTCATACCTCCAAACTTTTTCCATCTTTATGACAAATGAATGGCTATTTTTGAAATCCCACATATATGTACATGACATCTGCTTCAGAGTTTGATAATTAATTTGAAAGGAAGGCTGGGTGTACCTGCAAATCCTTACAAGTGCATTCATTAAGCACCTACTGGGTGCATTCTGTGTGCGATTGAACAAGATGCTATGGTGCACACTGGACACATAAATCATTGTCCCTGCCTTCACGAAGTTTATAGCCTTGTAGGAAAAACTGATTATAATCACAGTGCAAAATGCAATTATGTGCCTACGTGAAAATTTTGCAAATAATTTTCAAGGCTTCATGTATCCTCTGAAATCCCCCACTGGATCAGGTTAAGTACCTGTGCCAAAGGCTGCATTTTGGGTGATTACCAGGGTAGGGTGTGGAACAGGGAAGAAGAACATGGTTATAAAAACAAATAATGTTGCGAACTTCCATGGCAGTTCAGTGGTGAAGACTCCATGCTTCCAGTGCAGAGGTTGCAGGTTCAATCCCTGATCCGAGAACTAAGATCCCACATGGGGCGGCCAAAACAAACAAACAAAACAAGACAAAAGTGTTTATAGAGTGGTTCCTGTAGGCCTGGTGTTTGGCAAAGTGATTTACATGCTGAGACATACTGTCTCATTAATCCTTACAACAACTGCACTTACTCCGTGAGTAAACTGAATTCAGTAGAGGCTAAGTGCTTGGCCCAGAGGAGCCAGCTAGCAAGGGCTGTAGTAGGGTTGGAACCACAACTGCCTGGCTCTGGGTCCTGCATTCTCTCTCACTGCACTAGCCTGAGTGGGAAGTACAGGCATGTTTGGGAGATGATAAGCCCCTGAGAGCAGAGCAAGGTGAAGGATTTTTTCCAGAGCGCACTTTGCAGCTGCAGCTGCTGCTTTGCTTCCCTTTCTTGTCTCCCTGCTTCCCAGTGCCTGGTTGTGAGCACGGGACACCTCAAGCCTTTTGTGAAGCGAACACAGGGATCTAACTGGTTGTTTGAAGAAGGAAACCACAACTGGGCGCTTTGTCCAGAGTCCAATTTTGTGCCTCGGATATAAAAATTCTTTGATTAAACTACAGTCGGCCAAAGTCGTCAGACCTGTCGGATGCCAATTTTCATGAGAATAGCTCTAATAGGATTTTCTTTCTACAGGACTGACTGGGAGCCCCCAGATAAGAAAGTGGATACAAGAAAATACCGCGCAGAGCCCAGAAGCATTTACGAGTATCAGCCGGGCAAGTCCTCTGTTCTGACCAACGAAAAGATGGTAATGTGTATATTCAAGTGCTTTTGTCTCACCCTGCCCAAGTTCTTTAATCCGGATGCATTGTGCGCTTGGATTACATTCTTTCTCCCTTGAGATAGACTTGCTTTGTTTAGAAGACAGTGACAATATGAAGTATTTTTACCCTTTTCATTTGGCAGGTGTTCACAAAATAAGTGCTGAGAGTCTGCATTGGAAGAATCCTCTCACTGTGGCTTTGTTGTTCTTTTTGTGCATGGTTTTCACTAATTTTAAATCTGCTAGTGTAAAGGTTGATTTTGCTGCTGTCTTTTTTAAAAACATCTAACCATTCGTTTATCAGGCTTGTTGCTAACCGGACTAAAATTGTAGTTTTAGAGGTGACTCATATTTGAACATGCATACATTTTGTAGAAGTTGCAAGTACATCATTAAAAACCAGATAATTAATATGATGATGTTACTTGGAGGGAAAAAAAGCTCCAGGCTGTTAGACTATGGCTTTTAGATCTTCCTTTTCTGACAAGTTCAATAGAGAGGACACATTGCATGTTCCATCTATTTGTGGTTCCCTATACAAGTTCACATCTCCAAGCAGTTATCAGTGGGGAGCATGGCCTGTATGGGCATAGGAGACCACCCTGTGAAGGCAAGGGAGAATTTTTACAAACTGGTTAGTTTCATATCTGCCCGTCACACTTCCTTTTATTCACCCTTCATTAGAACAAGCTGGTTTCGGAATTCTGATCATGGTTAAAGGGACCTCCAAGGCTCCATAAACCCTGCAGCCCTCCTGCCTTTCCAGCAGGAGGGAATTGTCATGCTGGGGATTGATTCTCATTAAAATGCGGTTACCACACTGAGTCCAGAATAAGAAGGCCCCTGAAATGTGTGTTCAAATTCTTCTCCCTCCGCCTCTTTTGCTCTACATGTTTTTAAGGAATAATTGATTTGACTTTTACTAAAATACAAAGGTGACGTCTTTAAAAGCACAAAGGGGTGGGTAATTTTAGTTAGGGAAAAAAGGTTCAATAGTTCACCAAAATGCTTCAGATTTGTCATTCTCCGGCATTTACTGTACACCAAAGTTATTTTAAGCAAAAAGTTCTGAGAGGAGTAGAGAATTTTGACTCTGTCTCCTCCCTTCACTGCAGGTTCTCTCTTTGTGAGAAGGTAATAAACATGGAAGGTAACCTTCCACACGGGTCTTCCTAGAAAGAAAGTTATGTCCTTTGAGTATGTTCCTGACACTTGAATAACAAGCAAGGGACATACATCATGTATCTGTACACTTCTGTGCTTTCAGATTCTGTAGGCCCCTGGGTGCTTTTGTTTTGGTGGTATTATTATTCATAGATGGTCATTGCTGTTACTGAAAGCTTTCCCCTTAATTTCTCCTTTGTTTCCTCTTCCTTTCCTTGGTTCCTAATAATTTGACCACTACTCAAAACTAGGGGGGAAAAACCCAAGAATCCATAATTGTGTGCTCATTGATACCACAGTGATCACAGTGTCCTCCATATCATAGTCCTTGGGAGCATTTATATTGTTTTCACAAACCCTGAGAAGTAGCTCACTCTGCCCACGGGCCCCACTTTGGAGAGTTGTGGTGACCATCCATACACGTGGGTGGTCAAGCACCATCTGGCTGTTCCCACACAGGAAGCCCCTCCGGCTGTACCAGGGCCTGGGCCAACCAGTTAGGACATAAGACCCAAGGCCGGCCAGAGAGGAACATTGTTGTCTAGCTGTTTGTTCCCAGAGAGTAGTTTTTCATTTTAGAGAGAATCTTCATCTTTTCATAGTCTGCTCTTCACAGAGGTGGAAACAGTCCTTTATTTTTGAATTTTTCTTCCTGCTGTTTTTGCCGCATGAACAGAAAAGTTGGATTGGGAGTTTCAGTGTGAGTCCTGCCTTTCGGTTTCGCTGTTTGGTTTGCCAGAATTTGAGGGGCCCCTTCTTCCCCAACCACCACCACCACACTCACACGCATGTGCACACGCACATGTTTTTGTGGTGGTTAGCTGTGAATAAGTGTGCTAACTAGAGACAGATAGAGAATCTAAATTTTCTCCCAGAAAGGCACATCTTTTTTATGGGGGAGAATCCCTATTTCCCCCCAGTGTTTTTCTAGCTGGAGATGCTTGTGTCTGCTTAAGCCTGGCAATTTGAACTGCGACTTCACAGGCACATCTGTCCTGTTCGCACAGAGGGCTGACGGGTAGACCATGAAGATTGCCTTGGCATTCATCTTGTCCCTGCAGCAAACCCACAGCATCCCAGACAAACACTGTGCTACCTGCAGGAGATTTGTAGGAGATTCGCAGCCTTGGTGACCTGTTCAGCTATTTGACAAACTCATATGAAGTTCTTTATTACTGTTTGGCCTCCCTCTTATCACAGTATTAGCCCATTTTCTTCTCTTCTGGTCTTGGAGTTGGAGAGCTACTGGTTGGTCCCTGCTTTGTCAGAAATAGTTTTTTTTTTCAGGCTGTAGTCCTTTTACATACTTTACATACCTCCCAAGTCCCTTTCAGAACTGAACCTCAGCTCAATTCAATAAATATGTACAGTTGATCCTTGAACAACACAGGTTTGAACTGCACAGTCAACCTAAACGTGGATTCTTTTCAATAGTAAATGTTATAGCCTTGCACGACTGCAGTTGGTTGAGTTTGTGGATATGGAGAAACCCTGGATACTAAGGGCCTGCTGTAAATTATACTCAGATTTTCAACTGTATGCATCCCTGAGGCCCAGGTTGTTCAAGGGTCTGCTTGTAGAATAACATTTATGTGCCAAGTCCTAGGTTAGATGTTGGGGTTCCTGCTCCCATAGGGATAATGTGAGAAGGACAGATGTAAAAATCATTATTACAAACACAATATTTATTTGGAAGTGTAAAACATGGGGATTTACCCAACTTAGTTTCTCCCCAGTTCAGAGTCACCTTGAGCTCCCTCCTGACTTTTCAAGTTTGTCACTCACCCCTATGTTAGCTTGGTATCATCCACAAACTCAGCAGCCCCACCCCCTTCTCCTGGGGAGTATGAGAAATGTAAGCAGCACTGGACTAGGAATTGGAAGGTTTCTGAGTTCCAAATTCAGATTCGGACACTGCCTTATGTCTGGGGGCATCACTTAACTTTTCTGAACAACCACAGTGTTTTCACCTGTAAAATGGAATTATCTGGCATGCCAACCTCGCTGGAGCAATGAGTGAGAGGGTCCCATGTGATAATGTGGGTAAAAGATCTGTGAATATAACAAAGTACCATGTAAATGAACATGCCACTTTCAGATTCTTTAATTACAGTCTGAAGCTAGTCTCTGGCTCCCGTCCAAGCAGCAGAACTATTCTGAACGATCAGGCATTTTCCTCGTGAGTCCACTGCCTTTTCTGAAGATTTTGCCAAGCTGGGAAAAGTTAGCTCCCTGTTGCAGAGACCTCAGCCTGGCTTTGTGGAATCTTCTCTGCCTGCCAGAACAGAGAGCCTGCTCTCCATCCAGAAGGACAGTCCCCTATTTGTCCATTCTGTGCTTCAACCTAGAAAGGAGTTATCAGTGCAGAATCACGTGCTGCGTGGTATTTATTACCTCTTTAGCTTTCTCGCTGGGCAACTCCAAGGACTAAGGTTGGCTGCTCTGGGTGCAAGCTGGTTGACATGCCTCCTGATTCAATTCTCAAGCCAGCATTAACCTTGGTAATAAAACAACCTTTGACAATAAAATGGGTTGATTCTTTCAGAACTGAGTACCAGGACATTCAGGCAGTTTTCTGAAAAAGTTGGTACATTTTGTTTTTGAAAAATAGAAAAAAAAAAGGAAAAAAAAAAAGCCCAAATTATTCCCAGAGAGCAGTTTATAAATAGTCTTTTAAAGTAATAAACATGAATGGGCTTCATGAAGCCCCATGATACAAGGACCTAGGGCGTCCCCATGTCTAACCTGTCCCTCCTAAATGGTGGTGTCCTTGTAGGTATTGCACCTCATTTCATTGAATAAATATAGATTCCAGTATTTTACAGAATTACAGAATCCACTGAGATGGAACACACATTCTCCAGATTTTAAGTTCCTCTGCCCCTCAAGACAGTTGGAAGAAGGTTTAGTCTGAATGCAAGAGGACAGACTGTTTGAATACATATTTTCCTTTGATTTCAATTAACTTCTATTCAGTTAATTTCAGCTAAAGGAAAGTTATCTACCAGACCTTCCTGGGTTTAAAGCAAAAGTAGAAATAATAGTAAGGATTCTTATAGGGATCTTAGAGACTGGTGAAGGTCACTAAGAAAGTTTACAGCCATTTCAACAAGCTGCAAAAGACCTGTTACCTGAATGTTAAGAAAAATGTGTCCAGAGGAACTGCTTTGTGAAGGAGTCACTTGGAGATGTGTCCACAGGACGTGCAATTTCCTTTCTATGTGTTGTGGCCCTGAGGGCATGTTTCTTATGTTTTCAATCTCAATGGAAAATGTATATTTTCTATTTCATTTTGTCAGGATATCACCATTTCTCTCTTTTGTGACTATTAAGATTTTTTGAAACATATACACATAAGAATTAAGCCGTGAGCCTCTAACAGTTTCATCTGATGTGATCATATCTCAAGTTTATTAAGGGGAAACTGATTTGCTTTCCAGGCACTCATTTTCCAACTAATTATTTCCAGAAACATATGCTCTTCCACAGAACAAGGTATCAGAACTTTATAAATATTTGACGAAACATGAAATCCCAAGGAATCAAATTATCAGTCTATGAATTACCTCTTAGAGCTGTATAAAATGAGAAAGCTAACTTATTTTTGTAACATAACCCAGAAGTTTCTCCCCCGTGTTGTTCTGTTATCTGTCTTGTTCAGCTTTTTCCTTTATTTTTTTCCCCAGTTCTTTAACATTTATCTCTTAAAGCACAAGGTATATCTGTCTGTATTCATCCCCCATGGATGCTTGTTTAAAATGTTTTTTCACTTGTGTCTTCTGTTTTTACTTACATCATCTTTCACTTTACTCTGTGTGGGACTTGGTTTCTCACCTACTCATGTGCCATTAAAGATGCAGTATTAACAAATTGGCTTTTATAAAAGTGTCAGTATTTGCTGTTGATTTGTTGATCTTGAAAACCTGAAGACAGCCTTGCAAATAAGCACTAAAACCGTACTAGCCCATAAAAGTGTTTGCTCTACTCATCTGGCGTAGATGGCTAAATGTTTGGTGTGTTCACCAGGTTATTTGCTTGTAACTCTTAGCTCTTTGGAAAGAGAAAAGAGGGGCTCTCTTTTCTCCCACCACTCTGGCAATTACCAAGGAAAACTGTCATGCCCATGTTCAGATGTGTTGAGAGGGCAGCCGTGGGGTACAGTGCTCTCCATCCGTGTCCCTCTGCCTGGGGACCGATGAACAATTCCCTCACTGCTGCCTACCTCAGTGTCCTGTTTTCATAAACACATCCTTTCCTGCCTGTTTCAGCTCCTGATTTTGCTCATGTCTGTAAAAAAAAAAAAAAAAAAAAAAAAAAGGATGATTGCTGCTGTTGAATGCAGGTGCTGTATATTTCTGGAAACCACTGCATCTCTACTGGCCGGTTCCTATGTAATCTCTGCATAATGTTATCCTTCTCTTTCTTCCATTTCCCTGTCACCAACCCCTATAGAGTCGGGATATAAGTCCAGAAGAGATAGATTTAAAGAATGAACCTTGGTATAAATTCTTTTCGGAATTGGAGTTTGGGAAACCGGTAAGTTTAATAGCTTCAGTGGTTATAGACACCGTTTTAAATAATGCTGTTGATGCATTGTTGCTGCTAAAGAATCAGATCTGTTTGTAAAGAGTTCAGGAAGTGGGGAACAGCTTCGTTGACTGTCAGTAGTAGGATTGTCAGTTCTCACTACAACCTGTGAGCTTTCCACTGCTTTACTTCACCAAGAAGGGACAGTGAGCTCTGGGAAGTGTTTCTTGCTAGAAGATTTCAGGGAGACACGGCTAAATCATTGCTTGACTTAGGACCTTTCAGCACTAGCAACAAATATCACACACCTTGTAGACTGCATTATTTCAGGCTTCGGTTCAGTCCCTTGAACAAAGGCTTCACAGTGTGCTGAAGACAAACAGGAAAAAGCATACATACTGAGAAAGGCCAGCATTGTCCCTGTTTTAAATAGAAATTTTAGAAACAAATATATAAGAGAAGTGACAAAGCAAAGGGAAAAGGGCCTTTCTGTGCACAGGTGGTCTGAGAATGCCACCCTGTTACAGGCAACTTTTAGGGAATGATTTCTATGAGGTAGGGATAGTATTTCCCAAAATTACAGATGAGAGTTAGGAATTCTAGCAAACTTAGTATTCAGCCCAGTAGCCTGCAAATTCTGTGATGTATCTGAGTTGGCTTTGGTACAAATTGATTTTTGGCAATTCAAGGAGGATTTTCTTGGCCTTGCACCCAAAGGAGTATCAAACAGAAGGGAGAACTGAGCTCATTTTTCCACTGGACATAACTGGAAACTGACTTTAAAACTTCAGTTACTTTAAAGTCTTAATTATGATAGCAGCAAAAAGAATTTACAAGTGGAGGGATTAAATAAATTAAATAAATGTATAAAAATAAAACATTCTATTATATGTTTGTATGAGACTTTAAGCATTGAATCTGGCACTTGAATCACATGATTTAGAATAATAGTTGTGTTTTTGTGTTTTTTTGCCAGATAGCTTTATAGTTCAGGAAAATGTTAAATTTCATAGTATACTTTTTATGAAGATGAAGACAGAGAAATTTAGCTGGTGCTCTGAAATTGCTCATTTGATTGAGCCATGATGAGCTTTGTTGGAATGTTCAGGCATTTTCAGAGTTAGGAGCACCTGACTTGTAAACACTCCACTCGTAGGAACAGGCAGTCCTACTTTGTCTTCTCTGAGTCCCCTACTATCAGCCAAGCAGCCCTGGATGAACACCGCCACCTAGTGGTCAGAAGCGAGGGACGCATCCAACCCAAAGTGTGCACAGTCTCCTCCCCTCCTCAAAGCTTTGGTGCACTCTTCACTTCTCCTCTCTCCCTTTTTTCTCTGCTGTCCACCATTCACACATCAATGAAGTCGACCTCCCACAGTCTTTCCCACGTGCAGAACTTTAGCAATATCCTAACCTTTTTCTTTTTCTTAAAACCTGCTAAGTTGTCTCACAATAGAAAAAACCTTTGGAAATGTGTTCCCCCAAAAAAGACGATGATTAGTACATGCAATAATAATGCCGTACTTTCATCAGAGAAAGAAAGTGATATTAACTTTATTTTTTTTTCAAAAATCCAATTTATTATTCAGGATTAGCTACAACTAACAATTTTTCATAAACTCCAGTTATAGGTATTTTTTCCCTGAGGGAAACCAGAATGTTAAGTCTTTGGTGACGCTATAATTAAACATTATATTTTAAGTCAAAGAAGAGGAATCATCACGCATGTGCAACAACTAGTAGCAGCGGAGACCAAGACTAATTTATATTACAAAGTAAAAAATGCCAAATATTAAGAGAAAGTCAAGCATTAAATTGTTGATAGTAAGGAGCCTGTGCCATCGATTTTTTAAACCCTGTTGAGAATCTATAATTTCTAGCCATCTCCTCATTTGCCAAATAACTAGTTTTACTGAAATATTAACTTTTAGGGAAAGTTATGAAGCCATTTTTTTCTAATTAATTGTGACTGGTTTATTATTTTACTAAATCTGTCATTGTAATTAATACTCTTTCTGTTAGCGATTGACAGCATTTCAGTCACAGTGTGCCTAGATAGGCTCTGTGAATAGCTCAGTGAATTAATTGTTTCTATGGAAAATGGTAGTCTGAACACCACACAGCCAATCCAGACAAATGTTGAGAAAACAGTCCATCTGTGTACTGGGACCTTCCTGTAATTTGTGTTCCTACCCTCTTGTCCCCACTGACTCTTAATTATTTAAAGGCTTAGAGATGTTTTTCCAAAATGCCATTTTCTCTAAAGCCAGAGTGTTCCTTACATAGACCTTAGATTTCTTAAATGGGACTACTGCTTCTTGTATGGTCTTTTAAAGTAAAAAAGATGATACTTTTGAAGACTTGCCAAAGTAGCTTAATCAATGCCCATTTCCTGAGAAATAGCATTGAGATGCACAGGTCCTTATGGTGTGAGGCATAAGGGTGAGCTTGTTACCTGGTTGAACCAGACTGATGACTGGATAGTACTCCCAGGGCTTGTGAGGAAGGTGTGATGGGGAGAAATTGTTTCCTTCTCTTCACTTCTCCTACCCCAATCAACTCTGTGCCATTAAAGAGTAAGAGATAGAAATAAAAGGGGTATAAACTGTGGAAGTTGTTTTGGAGGGTTTTTCAGTCATTTGGGAGCAGAATGAAGTTAAAAGTCCAGTCAAAGCGTGTGGATCATCGTTTCTCCTTTTTATTCCACGTGAACCTAGGACCCGCTTCCCAGCAGTAAAGCCAGCCAGAACTGTAGATGTTTACCCTGCACTCCTTTCTTCCTCAGCCCCTTCACTTAAAGCCACCCTGATTTAGTGAGCTGAAGCTTCAGTAAGACCCTGACTATAATACCTTTTAGGTCTAACGAGTTGTAGAGTATCAACTGATTTAAGACTTCAGGGACCATTCGGGGAAGATGATTTAAAACCAATTTTATTTGTAAGCACTGTCCAATATTTTGCAGGAAGTAAATGAGTAGGGCTAGCATCAGTGACTTGAAAAAGTCTCCATCCCCAATAAGATTCAAGTGTATTAAGTGCTTAAAGATGAGTGATAATTGTCAGTGGCACTTACTCTACAAATTGCAGAATATAAGCATACAGAGATCATGTTACTGACCTGCTGATGTTAGTGGTGAAGCTGCCTTGGAATCAGGTTACTTTTCATCTATAAATTCATTACAAAGGACCTGGGTGTCAGCCGTTTCTTCTTCCTGCCTCCCCACTAAAATTTTGACAAAATTGATGTGATTTCTGTAAGTAAGCTCAAGGTGAAATGTAAAACTAATTTGAATGCTGCCATAGAGTTGTTTATGATGAAATTTGTGCAGAATGATAGGAGTTATTAATGAACTCGTGTCCTCAGAGGTCATTGTGTAAGAAATTTCAAGTCTAAGCAGGCAGAACAAAAAGGTATACAGAGGGGAAAGAGATTGCAGGTTTAGACGTATCTTGTAACTTCCAGATATCCTCTCCTCAGGACCCCTCTTGGGGCTTCCATGGTAGCTCAGCTGGTAAAGAATCCACCTGCAATGCAGGAGACCCCGGTTCGATTCCTAGGTCAGGGAGATCTGCTGGAGAAGGGACAGGCTACCCACTCCAGTATTCTTGGGCTTCCCTGGTGGCTCAGATGGTAAAGAATCCACCTGCAATGCGGGAGACCTGGGTTCAATCCTGGCTTGGGAAGATCCCCTGGAGGAGTGCTTGGCTACCCACTCCAGTATTCTTGCCTGGAGAATTCTCCTGGATGGAGGAGCCTGGTAGGCTACAGTCCATGGAGTTGCAAAGAGTCGGACACGACTGAGCAACTAAGCGCACACACTGGATCCCCCTTAAAACAATTCTCCTGGCAGATTGCTACTTTGGGAATTCCCAAACGTAGCAGATTGCTACTCATTCTAACAAGAGTGAAAGGAGAAAACGAAAATAACCTGTTTAAATTCAAAGTATAAACTCTTTCCTCTAAGAGAGATGGAAGGTCTGCCTCTACCATCAGCAATGTTATCAAGGCTTATTAAACTGTAAAAGATTTAAAAAATTATCTGATGAAATTGTCTAGTTATACAGCATAACATTTAACACCTGGTTTATACATGGATTTCCTTGCCACAAATCACAGAAAGCACATTTAACACCATTTACCGACCCTTGGTCAGATCTTCAAATTCACACATTTGTGAAGACATGATAAAATTTACAGTGGGAAAGACTACCTCCAAAATATAGGCTCACAGTGTCAGCCTTAGTTGGAAAAGAACAATGTGGAATTGAAATGTTTCTGTTTTCATTCAAATTGGTGTTAATGCTTTTTGTTTGTTCTTTTTAAAGTTTTGATTATTTCGTATCCAACAGTTATTTCCCCGAGACTTAGATGTAGAAACAAACCTCCCACTTCACGTTTCCAGCTCCCGAGAGTTCGTGGGGTCCCCAGGCAGCCTCAGGAGGCAGAGTGCCTGCTCCTTCCGTTTTTAGTTCACTTTTCTGTGTTGAGACAGTTCTCCTAATGTTGCCCCTCTTTGTTTGAGCCGGTCTCCATGTTTGTCTTTATGTCTTTATGCTCATTTCTTCATTTCCTCCTCTGCTTCCCGTCAGCCTCCCAAAAAGATATGGGATTATACTCCTGGAGACTGCTCTATCCTTCCTAGAGAGGATAGAAAGGTAATTCCGCTGTGCTCCTCCTGCGGGCTGTGTGTATGCTCTGGCCTGACTAGTGTGAGTGTGTTGTGGGGTGTTTCTTTTAATAAATCCCCCCCCCTTTTTTTTAAAAAAACTTGGTTATAACTTTTCGTTTTTGGTTTGGTGATAAAACAGTTTAACAAAGTCTCTAAGACTTATACTAATATGTAGAGGTTTTAAAAGCAATTACTTATTCTACTGACATATAGTATGTGTCATAGTCACCATACTCTGTAAAGAGAGAAAAATAGGTATTTCCTCAAAGGTAGGTTTTTGTGGTATGTGTAGTTCCTCTCTTTAGCAAGTAGAGTAGCATTTTGGAGCTCTGATTGCCACAGGATTTATATTCTCTCTGCCTAATGCTGCATTCTCGGTTTTCCTGCCTTTAACTCATTTCTAGTAAGCTCTTGTATTTTAGTCATGCCCATCTTTGCCTTATTAACGTATGACACTAAACAAACTCATTTTTCTAATGTAAACTTCCATGCTGTCTGCCTTTCCTCCTAACTAAAACGCTCTTTCCCATCTTTTCTTTCTTGAACCAGACTAATCTAGAAACTGATCTCAACCTCTGCCAAACAGAGTTAGAGGCAGATTTAGAAAAAACGGAGACGCTTAATAAAGCACCCAGTACAAACCTGTCACAGGTATTTCTGAGTTTTTCTCATGCCCTCGGTCCCCTTTGCTCTCTTCTTTGTTCTGTGGTTTTTGATGTAGTGGGAGTGATGAATGGTTATGCTGATTATTTTTAAGATGCATGGCTTTCTGACTCCTGGTTTAGATCCCCCTTATCCCCTAACTTAATTTTTGCTTGGATTTTTTTTTTTTTAGCTTGGCATTTTCCTTACAGGGAATTTTTCAGATATATATATATATGCAGGCTGGCTGGTGATTTAGCTGCTCCCCTGGCCTTACCATCCTCTTTCTCTGCTTTCAAGGGGTCACCCTTACAGCTCCCCTCTGCCTCCTTGGGCGTATACCTTCTCTGAATTTTCAGGGAGCCTTTTGTGGGCAACTTCCGTAGATTTTTTGCAGCCCTGGGAGATACAAACCTCAGAGATCATTTTCAAAAACACGGCCGCCGTGAATCAAGAGCCTCTTATGTGGACGGCACCGTCAGAGTAGTAGTATTTGTAATTTGCAAGGTCAGAAAGTTCTTAATGAAAAAATGTGCTCCGGAGGCCAGACAGCCTGGCCACATGCATTTGAAACTCAGCCTGCATTGATATTTTTACAGAGAGCTATGTCCCAGTGTGGTTTATTAAAGGATGTGTCAGAGAGAAAAGAAAGTCCAAGATAAATGGGCTCCCAAGGGAAAGAAAAATACCAAATGTTTGGAGAACGGCTCCCCATGGCTGCCTGACAAAACAAAGGAGACTCTTAACCAGGAAAGGGTATCTTTACAGAAAATAAAAAAGGAATGCGGACACTGCTGAAGAGGCTAGGATGCCCACAGACTATGGCGGGAGACATGGAAAATGCTAGCGGACCACGTTATTCTTAAACAGAACTGAGACAAGGAGGGTCAGGCCACCAGGATAGGTTACTTGGATGTAAAATCACGTAGAGCCAGAGACTCAAACTGGGTGATCATGGCCACAGCCAAGGGGGCCAGGATAAGAGGGGGAAGGAAATGCAAGCAGATACAGGGGAGTTAGGGTTTGGGAGTCCAGTGTCCCCAGAGGAAGAGTTAGCCTGCAGGGACCAGGGGTTAGGCCCAGGGGAGTGCAGAAGATGAGCGACAGTGCTCGCAATCAGGCAGGTGGGTGACGAGGTGGGCACGGTAGGGGCTGAGTCTCCAACCTGGGCAGAGGCCGGCAGCAGCTGTCGCTCTTGTCTTGAATGGAGGTCTGGGCTGGTTCTGAAGGAGAAGTGCGGCTGTAGGCAAGTCCTGAAGTGGGCCAAGAGGCAGGACGGGAGCCCCAGCCAGTCAGCAGGCACTCTTTTCAAACCTAGAGAGAGTGGTTCTGTAACAGGTGCCAGGATGGACAGCAGCCAGAGGTTACTGAGCTCACAGCCGCCTCTTTTGGGCAGAGATGGCATCTGGTACCCACAGTCCTGCCTGTGGCTAGGTGGGCCTGAAGAGGTTGCATGGATGTGTCATCTTGACACTGATTCAGTTATGCGTTACCCATGGCCCTTAGCTAAGGCATGTGAGATGTGCTGAGAGAGGTTCTAAGTCAGCACAAGAGTGGACGCATTGCCTTCAAGAACATGGCAGCTAGCCACACTCATAAATAAAAGAGCTCCACTAGTACATAGCAGTGCCTGGTAAGAGCTGAATGACCATTCTGGGCTCTAAGGGCTCAGGAGAGGGGGAAATCTTCCAGAAAATCAGGGGAGACTTCTCAGGAGTTGGCCCCGATCTTAAGGAATGGATGGAATTTAGGTACCTGGTGAAAGTGGGGGCCATCCATTGGAGGCATGTTAGAGGGGGCAAAATAAACATTTAATATAAATTCAGGAATAAAGTAGATGAATTCGGCTATAATAGAACATTTTGGGTGATAATAGTGGGAGGCAGGTTTGGGAAAAGAGGGTTGACTCTGGGTTATAGAGGCTCAGAAAATATGGTTAAGGGGATGATTGATTTTGCCCTCCAGTCAATGATGTAATTCAGGAAGTGTTTTTAGGAAGCTCAGTGTCCTTGCTCCCGAGAGGCTGAATTGAAGGGGAGACCTCCAGTTGGAGGTTGAGAGGGCAAGGAGACTGCTGCAGTGGTCTGGGCATGCAGGGGCGAGAGCCTGTACTCCAGTGGCACCAGCGTGAAGCGAGGGGGAGGGTGAATGTGAGAGAGAACTTGCAGAGGAAAGTGCAGTGAGACTTGTTTTAAAAGATTTAGCCAATGCCTTATTTGAATTTAAAAAAAAAAAAAAAAAACTTCCTCCCTTTATTTCTCTCTCTCTCTCTCTCTTATTATTGGGGGCACACAGCATGTGGAATCTTAGTCCCCAGATCAGGGATCGAACCCTTGCCCCCTGCATTGGAAGCACAGAGTCTGCAGTGTCTGAACCACTGGACCACCAGGGAAGTCCCACAGTGAGAGACTTTAACTAATTGGTGTAAAGAACAAAGAACTGAGGGTAGGGATAGGAAACACAGTGTAGGGTTTGGGGAAGGAAGCAGGAAGGATGGGGATGTCAGTATGTCACATAAGAAAGATGGGGGGAAAGTCAGGGCAGAGGGAAGATGAAGGAGGTAGTTTCAGGTATTTCTGAGGTGTTGGCTGTGGATCATATGGGGGCTATCCAGGCAACAGTTGGAAATGGATGAGAGGCAGGGGTGTTGAAAGTCAGTCAGAGTCGCCTGAAGAGAAGTGCTGGTTGAAGCCCTGGGAGCCGAGGAAGGATTGAAGGGAGAGAGAGGGTGGGGGACCAACAGCCCCCCATGGGGATCTTGTCTGACACAGAACAGAGGAGGAGGAGGATCAGAGAAAAACAGAGCAAGGAGGAAACGTGAGAAGTGGGGCAAATGTGAGAGCTGACTGAGGGGTCCCCCCAAAAATAGACTCTGAGGGAAGGTCAGTGCATCTGATAACCAGGAGGCTTCTAAACACTTTAGAGGTCGCTGGGCAGGTAGCTGATGGGAGCTGGAGTTATGTGGTAAAGAATCAGGGGAGCCCCCAGAGGTATAGCGCCTGCTGACAACCTGAGGGGGGGAAGGCAGGAAGCGGGTGTTTCCAGAGGACTCAGCAGGGTTGTGCCAAAGCTCTTCCAGGATGGAGACCCGACACGGGCGGGCGCCGAGGGTGCGAGGCTCCAGGAGGGGGTGGGCGAGAGAGGCCAGTGTGGGCACCGGGGCTGGAGGGGTGGACGTGGAGGGAAGGGCAGTGGTTTCTCAGGAACACCGGGGGTAAGGGCCGGAGGACAGCCGGGGTGAGCCCCCAAGAAGGCTGCCTCCCCTCCCACCATCTCCTCCTCCTTTCCCAACCTCTTCCTTCTCCTCCTCCTGCTGTTTTCTTTCTCTCCTTTCCCCAAGTGCCTCTTCTCTTCCAGAGAGCTTGTTCTTCTTGAAGTGGTCATTAGCAGAGATCAGAGCATCTTTAAGAGTTAAGCTGTACATTGACTTATTCAACTACCATGTTATTTTTAAAAACAAATATATCATACCCTTTGCCTTTCCTTCTCCAAGATGATAGACACCCTAAACTCTAATTATGCTGCTTTTTATCTGTATAGGGCTCTTGGTTTTCTCCCTTTTGCATAGTGGCCTGTCATTTGATAGCATGCTCTCCCACTTGGTGAAACAGGCATTAAGAGTTTTGTGAAACTGCATTGCTCCCCATTTCCAGGGGTAAATGAATGATCTAGAAATATGGTCTTTTAAAATGCTTTTTTTTTTTTTTCAATGTACCTGATGAAGTGTTGGGTGACGCTATCTAGTTGTGGCATTTGGGTGCATGACAGAGTCTGGTGGGATTGGCAAGGGGGTCCGAGGGCTGGGGATGAGCTGGTGCAAGGTGCTGTCCATGTCACTAATGCATGTTGTGAAGTGGTGGGCCGTCCACCCAGTGGGCCTGTGACTGGAGATACCCATGAGGAGTGGGCCATCTCCTGACCCTTCCAGAGAGCCTTGGGTGCAGCCACTGGGAGACAAAAGCCCGGAGATCCTCCTCCCAGAGAAAGAGCACCGCTGTCCACCCGCACTGAGCCCCTTCCAGCTCAGCTCGGCTCCCTGCCTCCCGGAGGGCTTCATCTAAACTAGGACAAGAAAGGGGCTTTTCTATTTTCCCCTTGGCTTGAAATAAGTGAGTCAAAGTAAGTCTTTTTTTTTTTTTTGACATTTACAGAGCTCAGCAATCAGCCCGACTCCAGAAATTTCTTCAGAGCCTCCTGGATAGTAAGTTATCATTGTTTACATGGCTTGATATATGAAATGTCCAAAATGGGAAGGCTTGTGTTTCATTTGTTTCAGTCTAGTGGCTTTGAATGATGTACAGTTTGGTGATAAGTAGCAATTATAGTCTTAAAAATTATTTTTTTTCTCCTCCTTTTCCAAATTAACATTGTGATGACTCATATTACCTCTGATGAGCTTTTCCCTGTGTTGGCTTCTTTACCTTTGGCTGTAAGCTTATTTGTTTGAATTGAGAAGCTGATTCCTGGGAGTGGGGAGGAGTGTGTGACTGAAGTGCATCTGGTGTAAAGGTAACTAGGATGAGGGGGGGGTGAAGTCTTCAGGCTGGACCTGTCACAAGGAAAGATGGGGCCAACTTGTCTGATTCTCAGAGATCTGGGTTTATTCCCCTATACCAATTCTTGGAATTCTGCCTGGCTGGTGAATGCACACCCCATGCACTTCCTCATGGGGTAACTGTCGGCCTCTCCTCCCCTCCCCCAAGCCAACCTACGTCCTCTCCAAGATTTCTTGTCTCCATACTTTGCTATGCAGCTGTCATCCCAGCTGGAAATGTTTCATTGTTGCCCCACGCCCTTACAAACATGTTAGTACCTCTTATTGGCACTTCCTTCTGTGCCTGACTGATGCTCTTGTAGTTTTGTGACTACAATAAACTATGAACCCCCTGAGGGCAAGGGCTGCATCCCTGCAGTGCCTGGTGCACCCAGTAGATTCGGGCGCTGTTCTGGTAGAAGCGGCTTCTCATCACCATGAGATTACAGTCTGTATCTCACTCCGAAATATGACGGGGAGGGAAGGCACACTGTTACTCCCTCTTCCATCTGGTTTGGGTAACTCCACACAGAGCAAAGTTCAGCTGTGTAGGCGGAAGCCTGACTTTGGTGTGAATGCTGAGTTTATGGACTTGGGGGTCAAATATTACAGTCACTTGGGCATATCCACTCTATCATATCTGGCCAGGGAAGACACTTTGCAAGAGTAGTTTCATTTCAAAGTCAACCAGCTGGGATTAGCATATGTGGGTGACAGTGAGTGAACTTCTAATGGATCTAAGGCTTTATACTGGATATTCTGATAGAAGTATAACATATAGTCCCCTAATAGTTTCAGGGGCAAAACACACCAAAAATAAATAAATAAATAAAAAAAAAGGCAACATGGGAACTGCGTAAAATAGATTGTAGAGGTTAAAAGTATTCAGAAGGTAGCTCCCACAGGCTGTCAGTGTTAAGAACACAGTTCTTGAATGAAGGATTTGAATGATTGTTTGTACACTTAACTGTGTGCCAAGTCTTGTGCTTAACAAAAGTATATTATACTTTACCTCATTTAGTCCTCAGCATTCTAGGATCAGTTGTCATTTTTAATCCTCATTTTATTGGTGAGGAAACAGGCGCATGAAGGTTGTGTGTGCCTGGCTTCCATAACTGTGCATGGCAGAGCTACCACCAGAGTAGGAGCAATGATATTCTAGGCCAGGGAACTGCTGAGGTCTACTGGTGCCATCTATAAACTCTCATCTGCACCAGTAGTGATTCAAAATTGGGTGTTAAATTAACCAAAGAAAGGCATGCTAGAGTTGACTGTTTTGAGTGACTAAAAAAAAGAAAGAAAAAAACAAGGATCCATTTGTGTCATAGCATGTTAGCAGGATTGAGGGCATACAGAATGTTTTTTTGGTTGTACCCTTTGGCATGCGGGATCTTAGTTTCCCAACCAGGGATCACACCCACATTCCCTGCAGTGGAAGCACAGAGTCTTAACCAATGGACCACCAGGGAAGTTTCCATGCAGGCTTTTAAAATATATATAATTTTCTTTCTTTATTTATTGGATGTGCTGGGTCTTTGTTACTACACAGACTTTTCTCTAGTTGCGGCAAGCAGGGGCTATTCTCTAGTTGTGGTTTGCAGGCTTCTCATTGCGGTACCTTCTCTTGTTGCAGAGCTCAGGCTCTAGGAACATGGGCTCAGTAGTCGTAGTTCCGAGGCTGTAGGGCATGGGCTCGATAGCTGTGGCACACCTCAGCATGTGGGATCCTCCTGGACCGGGGATGGAACCTGTGTCTCCTGCATTGGTAGGTGGATTCTTCAGCACTGAGCCACCAGGGAATCCCCTCCACGCAGGCTTTTTAAAAGAGCAAGTTGCTCTCAGACACTCTGGGGACTTGTATACATAAAGCTATTTGATGTCTTCGTTTATCAAGAAGTCTCTTCTTGTGCTTCTCTTGTGTCTCAGTGTTCAAGTGCTTCCCTTGTGGTTCAGCTGGTAGAGAATCTGCTTGCAATACGGGAGACCTGGGTTCGATCCCTGGGTTGGGAAGATCCCCTGGAGAGGGCAAAGGCTACCCACCCCAGTATTCTGGCCTAGAGAATTCCATGGACTTCATAGTCCATGGGGTTGCAAAGAGCTGGGCACGACTGAGCAACTTTCACTTTTCTGTTTGTGTCATGGAAATAGGTCTCTGGAGACCTCTGTTTTTCAGTCATAGCCCAGCTCTCATCTTGACAGAAATAGATGAGCTTTTCCCTCCTGCTGTCCTTCCTTGTGGGGACTTTCCAGTAATTGAGGCTTGATTCTCTCCCAGTTTGTTCAAATGACTAAAGTTTTTCGGTGTTTGCAGTTGGGGATAAATCAGCCTGAGTGCAGTGCCTGACATGTAGGAAAATGTACAGTAAGCATTTGCTGAATAAATGAATGCACTTATAGATCTCAGTTAATTAGAATCCAGCTTGCTTAGCGCTGAGGCAGGCAGCTTGTGAACAGGAATCACATGTGAAAGAAATGTTGTCAAGACTTAACTTAACCTAAGCACCAGAGAAAGACAAGTCACCAAATGGCCCAGGATCAAAAATTCTGTGGTCAGTCTGTAAGAAGTGATAGTGTTGTCTTAAATCCACTTTCACATCTTGAGCAGACTGCAGTTTAGAATTTTATTAGCATGATTCCTTATCACAATGTGAGAAGTTTAGAATTTTATTAGCATGATTCCTTATCACAATGTGAGAAGAACCTGGGAAGAGAGAAGGAAATTCACCCATGGCCCCAATAGCCTAATACAGCTGTCAGTCTTTCATTTCAAAAAGTATCTTTCATACTTGTAATCATAGTGTATATCCCATTTTGAATTTTATTTCCCTGGAGTTATCAGATCTGTATGTCAACAGTGTAGACTACTCATTATTTTCAACATGACTTAGTATTTTGGCACAAAAATTTTTTTTTTTTTGCCTAGCTGAAGAGCTTTACTTTATTTGGCCAGCAGGTGGCACTCAAGAACAAGCTGCTCTTTCCTCAATGGTGATGGTCTACTAGAGAAATCACTTTTCCCCCTTAATCTAATTTTAGATCAAAACAAATCATTAGGGTAGATCTACATGAGTGATTAGAGACTCCCCTGGGCCTTAAAAATGTCATAAATCTGTGTGCATGTTGGCATTTAACTCCATTGAATCATTTATTCCACCAATGTGTATTTATTGAACAATAGTGCTAGACACCAGGCATGCAAAGATTCATAAGATAAACTGCCTGGCCTCAAGGAAAAGTGTCATTGGAGAATTACATGATCGTACATGACAATCAGAATGCAGTGTGGTAAATTCAGAGATGGAACCCAGAAAGTGTTTGAGGGGAAAATCAAAGAAAGGTTTTATCATGCAGCAGCAAATAAAAAGTGAATGACAGGGACTTCTCTGGTGGTTCAGTGGCTAAGACTTTATGCTCCCAATGCAGGAGACCCGGCGTCGATCCCTGGCCATGGAACTAGATCCCATGTGCACAACTAAGAGTTCACCTGTGGCAACTAAGATCCCACATGCTGCAACTAAGGCCCAGCACAGCCATATAGATAAAAGTTTAAAAAATATTGTTAAAAAGTGAATGACAGTAGCATTATATTATAAATACAAAAAATTTTTTTTCATGCAGTACTCTAATATTGTCTGAAAGTGAAAGTTGCGTCTGACTCTTTGCAATACCATGGACTGTATAGTCCATGGAATTCTCCAGGCCAGAATACTGGAGTGGGTAGTCTTTCTGTTCTCCAGGGGATCTTCCCAACCCAGGGATCAAGCCCAGATCTCCTGCATTGCAAACAGATTTTTTACTAGCTGAGCTAAAAGGGAAGCCCCTAAGATTGTGTAGATTCCCCAAAGTCTAGAAACAGTTATTTTTTTTTTTTCTTTTTTCCCCTGAAAACACTAAATGGTTTTGAACAGTGACTCCATGAGGCAGGAATGTTTTGTTTTGTCCTCTGTTGACTTTCCATCTAGGAGAATGATTGACTTTTAGTAGGTGCTCAGTAAATATTTGTAGAGTGAGTAAAATGAGCAGTGGAATGACAAATTGAGATCTTCTCTAGAAATATCATTGGCAGTGATTTGCAGAGATGAGTGGAGGAGGTGAGGACTGGAGACATGGGCAGTGGCAGTGTACTTCCTGCAGAAGTACAGAACAGTCGTGGGCAGTCCCAGTGGGGAGAGAGCAGGATTCATGTGACTCTGTCCAGGACAGGGAATAAGCAGGGCTTGGGACTGGTTAGGTCTGGGGAGGGAAAAAGAGGGTGATTCTACTGGCTTTCTGGCTTGGGTGAAAGAAGATGGAGGGACAGAGCTAGGTTTGGCTTGGGACAGGCTGGGTTCAAGATGTCTGAGGGTCATGCGGTAGAGGATGTCTAGAAGGTAGCTGAATGTCTGTGTTTGGAGCTCCAAAGAAAGGTCTGTATAGATAATGGATCTGAAGGTGGATTTTGTGGACAGTCTCATCACACCTACTAGTTTTGCAGATGAAAGAAACTGAGGCTGAGAGAAGCAGATTGTTTGCAAGTTTTTAAAGATAGCAGGCTTGCCTCAGCTGATCACTTTCCTCATGGGAGCCAGGCTGGACTCACAGCCTGCCAGGACCCAGCTTGCCTCCTCCAAAGTGCGCCTGGTGGCACGTTTGGAAACACTTGGCCCTGAGGTGATTGCTCTGTTCTCTCACTTTATCCTTCCAGTGAGTGTTTTTATTGAATCCTTCTTGAACCTTAGCAGTCAGTTCTGCATCTTAGCCAGGGGGTGAGTTCCCCACCCTGTCTCTTCCTGGCTTGTTCTTTGCAAACTAAAAATGGCTCAACTAAGACTACCGAGGGCTAAGCTTCCTTTTTTTTTGGTCTTACCATACACCATGAAAGATCTTAGTTCCCTGACCAAGGATCAAACCCCAGGCTTCAGCAGCGAAGTTTCCAAGTCTTAACCACTGGAAACCAGAAGATTCCTCTTAGCTAATGAATTTGACTTGTTTTGTTGAGTAATCTGTGGCTGCTAGTCCTGACTGGCCCTTTCTCGATCAGTCTGACTGGTTTCCCCATCCTCTCTGATCTGTTGGAACACTGCAAGACCCAACAACTCTGTGACTATCCGCAAATAACCTTCACCCCTCTGGTCCTCGGTTTTCCCTTGGAGAAAGTGGGACAAATGATATGCCTTTCCAACATTAGGAGATCTAATAATGATGATATATTTTAAAACATTGTTCCATAGCTTTAAAATATTGTTTTTAAACAAGGAGCCCCTCAGTAGCAAAGTGTGCACATCTGGAAAAAGCATGTTGGCTTTGGTATCAGAAAGAAAACAATTGGCTAGAGCAGATCCATTCTGAGAGGTTTCCTGAGTACTGATTTGTTGTTCTGGTGGAAGCAGGAAAAAATGGTGATAACGGCTGGATAACGGCCAAAGGTGGGGTGGCTGTGGGTAGGGGGTAGGTTCTGATAACTGGTGAGGTAGAGGGGGTGTGAGGTCAGGCAGCTGGTTATGGCTGAGAATAAATAAAATATTGGATTGAATCAATGTTATCAAGCTGTTTATATCTTTATGCTGAAAAATCCATATTGATACTGGCAAATGGAATTCGGTAGGACAGAAAAGCAGCCTGGTGAGAGCCTGAGTGCTTTTGTGGGAGAAAGGGGGTCACCCCTGATCTGAGTGTGTGTGCACACATGTGTGCGTATGCCCATGTGTCAGTGTGTCTGTGCGTGAAGGCATAGAAAACTGGAATTAGGGGGAGGGGAGGATTCAGTGAGTAAATGCTCTTAATTTTTTCTGTGCCCCACCTCATTCCATAAAGGATTTGTGGTAACTTGCAAAAACACCTAGACTTTGAACAAGATTAATATAAATGAGCAATATAAACAAGTGATAGTTGATATTCCATAACGCATGTCCTAAGGTGCTGATACAAATTTTGAAAGCAATGGATGGAATAAGAGCACAAAGAACGCCAGTTTCCGGTTGCACTTGGTGGCTGATTTTCCTGGAGACCCAAGACAGCTGGGGAACTACCTTTTGTTGTTCAATTTAATGCTCCATTGGTCAAAGCACTTGTGAGTAACAACATAGAAAAGTTATGCAGGTGCTGGACTTGAAATGGCCAACTCGGGCTGGCGACATGTCAGAAGCTCCACTCATGTCCTTGACTGTCTCGTCTTGCGTGCAGTCATTAGGCCCGAGAACCCCCTCCTATCTGACCCCGCTCTGTGCTCAGGCAATGTTTCTCGGTTATTTTGTGCTTTTAAAGCACAAATATAGTCATCTCAGAGCACCTTGCTGTTGGGACACAATTCCTGAATATTTTGGGACTCCCGAGGGCCTGCTTTGTCTGTCGAGCTCTGTGGCTAAATAAGAATGCCCTTTAGGAAGGGCTGTGCTTGGTGAGGATTCCAGGAGGTATGTTTCCTTATCCTCAGCTGGTAATGTGCTTTTTAGAAAACTGTTAAAAATACTAACTGCTGTGTTGTGTTTTTTTTTCCTTCTCTTTTTAAAAATTTCGTTGTTCTCAGTGTATATTCTTCCAACTTCCATGCGGTGAAGAGGGAATCCGATGGGGCTCCTGGGGATCTCACCAGCTTGGAGAATGAGAGGCAGATTTACAAAAGTGTCCTGGAAGGAGGAGACATCCCCCTCCAGGGCCTGAGCGGGCTCAAGCGGCCATCCAGCTCAGCCTCCACTAAAGGTAATGGGGAGTAGCCTGCAAGACTCTGGCCCATCTACAGTGTTATCGGGGTGTCTCTTGGCCATCTGTACCCATTCCTAGGGTGATGGCAGCAAGAGTAAACCTCCAGCTACTGGGATCAGTTTTGACTTGTTCAGATCCATTTCCAGGCCACTGAGCCCTCCCGGCCCCCTCCCTGAGTTTCTTACCGGCCATTTTTCTTTCTGGTATTAATAGTTCCCTTCCTTTGAATCCCCACCTTGCTCTCCCTGAAGCATCTCTCTCTCTCTCTCTTTTTTTGTTCTGGTTCCCTTTTCTTAGAAATTAGCTGAGCTTTTCCTAATTCTAACAGGGTGGCCATTTTTTGTTGCATCTTTGCACCTGCTTTGCAGCACAGATTATTTTGCTTCCGGACATCGACTGGAAATTAAAACAAAAGAAACCAAAAAAATCACACAAAACCCTCTGACAAATAAGCATGTTCTCTCTCCCCCTTTCCTTCTTCTTCTTCTTTTTTTTTTTTGGTAGCAGCTTTCAGCTTTAACCTAATGGGTCTGTTTATTTTATTCTGCATGCTTCCAGTGGATCATAAAGGTGGGAATGCTCACATGATTTCTTCATCTTCAGCTCATAGCCGAGCAGCTCACAGTAGCAGTGCGTTAGGCCCAGGGTGTAAGCACAAGAAGCCCCTGTCCGCCGCGAAAGCCTGCATTTCGGAAATCCTCCCCTCCAAATTCAAACCCAGGCTCTCTGCTCCCAGCGCTCTCTTGCAGGATCGGAAGAGCATCCTTCTGCCCTCAGAAAAGGCTCAGAGCTGCGAGAATCTTTGTGTCTCTGGTTCTCTGAACGACTCCAGAAGAGGCCTCCCCCTGCCAGTTGGGGGCAGCGTGGAGAACCTGCTCATGCGCTCGCGGCGGGACTACGACGGCCGCTCGAGCAGCACGCTGAGCCTGCAGGAGTTCGGCGCAGCCGCCAGGAGGCCCTGTCCGCTCTCGAGGAAGGCCGGCCCGCAGTTTACCATGCTCTACCGCGACATGCACCACATCAATCGGGCCGGACTCTTCCTGGGGTCCGGCCCCTCCTCCAGCGTGCGGGATCTGGCCTCCCACTTCGAGAGGAGCGGCCTGGCGTTGGCCCGGGGCGAGCTGGGCCCCAGCCAGGAGGGCTCGGAGCACATCCCCAAGCACACCGTCTCCTCCCGCATTACGGCTTTCGAGCAGCTGATTCAGCGCTCCCGGTCCATGCCGTCCCTGGATCTGTCCGGCAGGTTAAGCAAGTCCCCTACACCCGTGCTGGCCCGGAGCGGCCTCGTGTCCGCCCGCTCGGCCGAGTCCCTCCTGGAGTCAACCAAGCTCCGGCCCCGGGAGGTAGACGGGCTGAGCTCCGGGAGCATCATCTATGCCTCCCCAACATGTAGCCGGATGGCGGACTCCGCCTTGGGCTTCCGGGGCCTTGTGCTTTCCGAGCCCCTCTCCGCCTGCTCGGACGAGCTGGACCGCTGCTCCAACGTGTCCAGTGACAGCCGAGAGGGCAGCAGCGGCAGCGTTCACGGGGACTTCCCCAAACACCGCCTCAACAAGTGCAAGGGCACCTGCCCGGCCTCCTACACCCGCTTCACCACCATCCGCAGGCACGAGCAGCAGCAGGCCTCCCGGCGGCCCGACTGGCGCCCGGATCCCCGGGGGGACAAGGGCACGCTCCTCAGGAACATCTACCTAATGAGCCCCCTCCCCTTTCGGTTGAAAAAGCCCCTCCAGCACCCCCTCAGGCAGCCTGGCCCCGGGGACTTCTCGGGCCAGAAGCCAGAGCCCCCCAGTCAGCCCCATCGGGACGAAGCCCCCTCCGGGGGGAGGCCCTCGGTGCCCAAACGCCTGTCTTCCCGGCTCACCATGGCCCGGCTGAGCCGGCTCTCAGAGCCCCCTCAGGAGAGACCCGCGACCCCGGAGGTCTGCCCGCGGGCTTTTAGTAACGGGAACTCTGTGCCGCACTCAGACCAGGGCCTGGACAGGAACAACAACCCCCACGGGGAACTGGGGGCACCCCTCGGAGGTGGCCTTCTGTGTGTTTGACCAGTCTCACCTCACCCGTCCCTCCATCCTGCTTGCCGTGTCCCCCCCGCCCCTGGGCCCTCCCTGCTCATTTTCTGGTCCGTCCTTTGTTTTCTGTTTGTTTTGCTTGGCAATTAATCATGGCTCGTAGTGGCTGCTCTTCTTTAAAAACAGATTCCCCCATGTCATTTAGACTAACCACCAAACTCTGTTTCGAAAGAAAAATTGGCCGTTTAGCTCATCTGAGAAATTTGTTGATTTGAACTCCTGAACCCCTTGCAGTTCACACCAATCCTGACTCACGCAGAGGTTTTTTGAGAGGCAGCCTCTCTTGGTGGCCCTGTGTGTGTGTGTGTGTGTGAATGTACAGTGTGTGTCCTGTAAGACCCTGCACGCCTGTTAGGGACACCTTTCCAAGACGGTTCTCTCTTTGCTCACTTTTTGCCTCTCGTTAGTTTTCTGTGTATGGAACTAATTCACAAGTAAATCTAAAAAGCAGGAGGGGGAGGGGGTTTGGTTTTTTTCCTTCAGAATTTGATACTGACCACCAAACTACAATGGTAAAAACTTGATATTTATCATGGATGAAAGGTGAAATCTTGCCCCAATCTGGTTTCCTGCTAAATCTTTGCCTGTTTTAATTCTGCTTTATTGTTTTGAAAGATTCAGAGTCACCAAGGCATTTTATACCAGCTGATTACTTGGAATCTACAGAAGAATTTATTCGACGGCGTCATGATGATAAAGAGGTAATCGCCACTTTTGAACTCTCTAAGCTCTTGTGCAGACAAAAATATGCAGGAAGTAGACATTTAGGGCGGTGACATGGCCTAGCAGTTAGAATCAAACATAGGGATTTTCACAGGTGAGTTTTTATATGACCTAGACTCGATCATTCCTATTAGTCCACTTCTCCCAAAAGTAGGACTGATTTTTTTCAAGCCACTAACTTCCAAAGGCCAAGTCCAGCCAGTCCTACTGCCCAGGAGGTTCAGAAAGAGGTTGCCCACCACTGCATTCAGTGCCTCGAAAGGGGAGCACCCTCACCCCCACTTTATTATTCTCCAAGGAAATTCACCCTCTATTGACACAAAGCACAGTTCATATTGTGAGAAGGATGCAACAGGAGAAAGAGGAAATGTAAAATGAATAATGACCATGATAAATACATTTTATAAAAACATTTTGAAGACGTTGCCTTTAACTCAGTGCTACCCCAGTAAACGGTGACAGTGCCCCACCCCAAGAACTTCAGCATTAGCCTTTGTCTTGCAGCTGCTGAAACATGCTGTGATCTGACTGGTGGGGCCAGGAAAGGGGCACATTCTCTTGGGATTTAGGAAGAGGTGGTTCTGTATATCAGCTAAATGGGCAGAATTACAAGCTGCTGTTGTGATGAAGTGTTATTACAAGACGTGCTTTCTAGATTTCACATTCCCAGAGGAAAGGGTCCTATTGATTAAACAAGCTCTGAGGACCATTTCCATGCAGTGAAGAGACGGAAGAATTGTTTTGAGGCTAGTGGCAACAGGGGAAGGTGGTCATGTGTACACAACTCTGTCCCCTTCCCTGTAAAGTCCAAAGCCCTCTTCCTATGTTCTGTTTCATTGAGGGTGGTTTCAGAGTCTAGGGGGATTTTTATTAAGGATTTAGGGTCGGGCTGACATTGAAGAGAGCTGGAGGGTAACAGTCATGCTGTCAGCTGGAGAGACAAAGGAGAAAAAAGACCACAGTTCTGCCCTTCTCTGGGCACCATACAGACGGCACTCAGTAAGACATTTGTACCTGTCTGTGAAAAGATACTCAAGGAAGCATTTGATGGACAGAATTATTTGTGATAACAATGTGAGAAGCTCACAATGCATGTCCATCAGGCCATAGAACAGACTTCTGTTTGTCACTGAGATATGAGATTCCACCTATTGAAACCTGGCCTGCTATGATGAAGGGAGGTGACATTCCATTTCAGGAGTATAAACCCTAACATCCAACATGGGAGGTTTTGTGATAGAATTCTCACCTACCATGTGGGAGGCAGGTTTTACTTTGCTGATATAGTGATTCAGAGAATGAGCAGCTTGTTTCCTGAATATACTGGCTCACACATCCTGGTGTCCTTATCCCTGGTTTTTGGCTTATATGTTTAAACTATGGAAATGATGGATTTACTGAGGTCAGAATCAAGCTGGGAGGGGAGCTCTGCTCCATTTGCACTCATGTTATTATTAGGCCACGCCATGCGGCATGTGGAATCTTAGTTCCCAATCCAGGAATGGCTTGTGCCCCCTGCACTGGGAGCATGGAGTCTTAACCACTAGACTGCCAGGGAAGTCCCACAAGTGGCTTATTATTAACATTGATGATAATGCAGTTCAGAAAACAAGAACCTGTCAGTCCTGGAAGGGACATTGGTGGTCATCCACCCAATTCCCTTGTTTTATCCAGGAAAGGACTGCCATAGGATACTGGCTAGCCCCAGACCACATAGAAAGTTACCTTGTAACAGAGGCAGGGCTGGAAACCAGAGCCCTGTGGTGTTTCACAAAGCACTTTCTCATGTCTTTTCTCACTGAATCTTTACCACAACTTAACCTGAGCACTGGAAATCCCATAGCTATTTGACGAGTTACTGCTTTACCATTGGTAGACCCTGGAGAAGAATAGAAAGATGGGTCCACCCTCCTTTGGAGCTAGGGGTCACTTAAGGCATTTCACTACCTAATAGGAGAAGGCTAATGCTTTACTGAGAATGCTCAAAATGATCAGTTCTAATTAATGCCTTCCTGCAAGCAATATTAATTCTGGGAATGTATGATTGGTTTAGAGTAAGAAAATATTAAAATTCTCTTCTGTAGGGTCCTTTCAGTAGGCAGTGAGGACATTTAGTTAAATGTAATATTGTTTAATTATTTTAAAAGGCCTTTAAAAACAGAAATGAATGACTGTTTCCTTAATTTAGGAGAGAATATTTCTTCTAAACTCAGGTACCTTATTCTTAGTTTATCTCCTATATGTATAGTCTACAGCAGTCCCTTAAACTCAGCTTCATTTCTCTAAGGAAGAAGTAGTTGAGTAGAAAGTACATTAGGATAATAAATGATGTTTTCTGTCCATCACAAATAGGTTTTGGTACACATGCTAAAGCCTCCTAAAATTGTACTCAGAGGAAGGCTTGGCTGGTCTAGGAGGAAGGGTGCCATATTTTCTGAAATGGGTATTTCTACTCTCTTGAGCATATTCAAAAAGCAGCAATAGGAAGCACAAAATGACCTGCTTGCCATAGAACCCCTTAGTAAAAGCCCACAGCAGTTTAACAGGACAGATGTGGGCAGGAGGAAGAGCCCACCCTGGTTCCACTGTGGGAATATGCTATGGGAGCTCATCACTGGCTAAGTGAGTGAGGATAGCACTTCCGGCCTCCTGCCATGCTCCATGCTCATGAATGCTCCGGAAGGACCCCTGGATGATGTGGCCTCCGCTGCCTTGTATCTGGAGGCAGGAGGCTGTCAGCTGAGCCAGGTATAGTCTGCAGACAGTGTAACCACATGGGACCAGCCTTCAGTGCTGCCTAGATTTCTTCTGCAGTGCCGTCTCCTCCCTACACAGAGCACACAGGGGTGGTTACAGCGGGAACATAAAGCCCCTCCAACATCTGTTTCCTCTCTATTGACTCAGCACCTTTTTCCTTAGTTGTTTTTGTTGGCAGTTTTCCAATGCCCTGGACCAGATGATTCACTGCCCATTTTATGCAATTTCATGGCAGAAACTTTTAGCGGACCAGAGACGACTTAAACGCGAGCAAGAAGAAGCCGATATCGCAGCTCGACGCCACACGGGCGTCATTCCAACGCACCATCAATTTATCACTAATGAGCGCTTTGGGGACCTCCTCAATATAGACGATACGGCAAAAAGGAAATCTGGGTCAGAGGTCTGTTTTGGTCACCTCGATCTGCTGCTTGACCCAAAGCAATATTTGCCTCCCCTCAGCATTGCCCTCTGTAGGCCAATTTAGTTCTCCAAGCAGCATCTGTCATCCTGGCTTCCCTTAGGCTTGCTTTGGCTCTTCTCTGGCTGGTCAGAGGACATGATTCCCATTATGTCCTGTGCTCTGTATGTCCAAGCATGCCTGGCTGCGGGACTGGGATCCACCGGTGCACCCTCCGAATGCATGCCTTAGAGCATCGGCTGCCGTCATGAGTCTCGTCTTCTCCATCCGCATTTTACCATGATACTGCGTTGCCTGTGCGTTCTGCTTAGACACCTGTACCTTAGCTCATATGCATTAGTGGCCATGGTGTGGACAATTACAAGCTGCTGCTTTGAAGAGATGGTTTAGTGAAACTTGTATTACATGCAGTACTGCTGCTTGGTATCCTACAGTGATATAATTGAAGTGTTCAAGAGAACTGAAACCTCACTGAGGAATTTTGAAAGCCAGAGAGTTTTGCAGTTAGAGCAAGCCATGGAGGGTAAGAGCTCTCTGAGAGCCATTTCCTCCATTCCCTTAATTTGGACATTTCTCAGCTGAGATTACGAAACTTAATATTACACAAGGAACAAAGAGGCACAAGCCTTTAAAATGATTTTATCTGGACCTTGGCCTCCTGCGCGAAGGTCAGCATGTTGAAATTCTCATGCTGGCCAAATGCTGCATTTTGTGTCAGAGTTTGTTTTGCCACGTGACCCTTAAGTAGCCCTGCCTAAGATTAGCTCCTTTTGGGGAAGTGTGTGTGTCTGGGACTTGGGGGGTGGGGATGGGGGAATGGGTGAGTGACACCAAAGTATATACAGTTTTATAATCGTTCAATGTAACAGCTGATTAATGTTCATGTCGCTGTCTTTCGAGCGACAGAGGTACCACTGGTTATTCTTCAAATGGTTTGGGTTTTGTTTTTGTTTTTAAAGAAATAGAAGGTGACTGTGACAGAGAAGAGGGGAACCAGGTGAAAAGGAAAGCTGGGGAGGGGAAAGTGGCTTTAAGGTGATAGAGAAAAATAAAATGTAATTTAAAAAAAGGCAGAAGTTATCCAGAGTAACTCAGATGCAAGGAAAAGCCAGCTCCCAGCCCTCAGCATTCCAGCTCCTCCATACCACTCTGTTCTGAAGGTTCTGGTGATGGGTTATCCTTGTTCCTGGACCTACCTGGTTGTGAGTGATGGAGGAGATGGGAACATGCAGAGGCAACCTAGGGCTGCCTAATCCCTGTAGATAATACATGTAAATGAAATGCAACCAGGGCACAGTAACCATAGACAGAGGCAGGTGGACTCTGCCTAACGCACACTGCATCCCTTCTAGAGCAGAGGTTCTCAAACTTGAGAGCATCAGAATCCCCTCAAGGCTTATTAAAATACAGGTTGCTGGTCCCCATCCACCAAGTTTCTGATTCTGGGGTGTGACCTGAGAATTTGCATTTTTGAGCAGTTCAGGGACTGCATGTTGAGAATCCCGGCCCTAGATGCTGACTGACAGACGTCAGAAGACAAAGACCAGTGAGTCCTAGTGTCCAGATCATGTAGATATACTTCCGTCCCATTACCATTGTGTCCCGGTGTACTAGGCTGTGTAGATGTACCTCTGTCCCATTCAGTAGAGTTTGGGTGACCATTAAACCTGTCCAGGACCCTATGAGGGGGCAGAAAACAAGACTCAGACTGTGCTCTTGGGAAGCAGGCAGTCTAGTGGAAGAGGCACCCTTGGAACAGTTACCTCTGTCGTAGTAAGTAACACGATGCCTTGGGAACCAGAGGAGGAAAAGGTAGATTCAGCCTCAGGGGGATGGAGGGAGATAAAGAGGGAAATGATGCTTTGTATAGGCAGTGATGGCTTATGTCTTACGTTTGATGGAATCAGTGTTTCTCAGTCTTAGATAACGTACAGGTTCCCTTTAAAGACAAATTTTCACCAACCCAATTGGGTTGACCTAAGCCAATTTACAGATTAAATAGTAAACTATACACCTATACAGTTTTTATTTGATAATTATTAATTTAATTGAGAGCTGGTTAATATTCATGTCTCAGTCTTTTGAATGACAGAAGGCACCACTGACTGTTCATCACATGGCTTGGGTTTTACTAATTTAATTGATAGTTGATATAATTTCCCTGAATTCAGTTGTCACTCAGAGTATGAATATCATGTTATTTTGGTATAAATTTGTTTTTAATTTCACACAGCTCTGCAGTTGGCTGTCATGAGGTAACTAGCCCCCCCCCCCTCACTTTTTAAAAATTGGAATCACTGTGACATTTGTGTCCTTAAAATGTTGGTCATTTGGCCTTCTCTGTGAACTTGTCATTTGTAAATAACTCCATGATTGTTCTCTTCTTATTTGCTTACAGTGGTTAAATTATGCTCTCTGGTCATAACAGACACAGATGCAGACATTGAAATTCTGACATTGATTATAAGGTTGGCATTTAGCTGACTTCTAGAATGTATGGGAGATAGAAACAGAACATGAAAATGCAAAAATAAAAAATTCTTGCAGAGAATTCATGGCCTTCAAGAAGGTCCCTACAAGACCCCAGCTCAAGGAGCCTGATAATGTGGGGGTATTTCATTGAGGGATCAGGATCTAAAACTGAGCTTGATGAAGCTTCTGAAAGTGATTTTTTCTCACCTATATTCCCCTCTGCTTTGTCAATGCCTTCTAATATTGAAGTAGGAAGTACATAATTTAATTTTCATCACATTGTTTCCCTAGACCAAAAAGCCACAGCAGTTGAGTAGGTTGGAGCTGCTTGTAGCTGGGGCAGAATTATACTGGCAGCTATGCACAGCTTGCTCACTTGATTTCTCCCCTCTGTTTTTCTTAAAAAAAAAAAGTAACTACTTTTAGTGGTGGGGAAGAAAGATGTGCAAATAAACATGGTAAGTAAAGAAGAACCTTCTCCTCTCTTTGATGGAATTGGTGATGAAGAAATTCCAGACACAGAAGGGTGTCTAGACAAGATGCAGCAAATAGACTTGCCTGATTGGGTCAGGAAGAGTGTCCTAGGAGATAAGGCAGTTAGGTATGAGTGGGGAGAAATTACCCAAAGACCTTAACCCACCTCAGGCATTGAGAGTTGGCCTGAATGACAGTTGAGAGACTCAGCCAACTTCAGAGTGAGGCAGTGATGTGATGGAGGCATTTGAGGAATGTTACTTGTGCCTCTGAGTGACAGCAGATTAGAGTGAAGAGAACTGAAGTCAAAGGAAGCTTTGTGCTTGTGAAGACCAGAGGTCGAACCTGAGAGGGGTTGTGGAGGGGACGGAGGGAGAGTTGGTGTGACTTAATGACAGACTCGATGAGAAAGTGGAGACGGGGCTGCGGATGACTTCCAGGCTTGGGAGACTAGGAGGAGAGGGCTCCCCAACAAGAATGGGAGCCTTGGAGGAAGAGCATGAGCTCAGGGCTTGCTATATCTGCCTTTTTGGATGATTTCACAGACGTTGAGAAATATATGTAGTTGGAGGTGATATGAGAATTCAGTCGGGGTTCATCTACTTGCAGGGCATAAGTTAAGTCACACAATGTGCTCCCCAAAGAGGAAGACAGTAGATAAGGAATGTCTCAGGACTTCCAACTGGTTTTTTGTTTGTTTTTTTTAAATAGCAGTATCAGCTTTGAGAACCAGCATTTCAGCTTTAGGACTTTTCTGACCATCTCTTCCCCAAATCTGGCCCTCCATAGGGAGATCCTTACGCATGGCATAGCTGACTGAATATTCATCTAGTATTCTGCTAAGGTCAGACAAGTGGAATTCTGCCCATATTTCAACACCAGAGTAAACTGGTTAGGGTGGATTTTTCTGCTTTGCTTTCTGGAAGCTTGTAAACATGTGTTCTTTTCATTGTACATGAATTGCAATTTTAACTTGTCATTGTTTCTTGTGTTTAGATGAGACCTGCCAGAGCCAAGTTTGACTTTAAAGCTCAGACACTAAAGTAAGTGCCATTTATCCACCTTGTTTCTTCTGGGGACAGGGTGCCTTCCTCCTGACCCTGTGCTTTTATTGTACCATGTTGCCTCCCCCCAAAACTTAATAATAGCACTTTTTAAAGAGAAAATGAGAGATCCACAGACTTGAATATGTTAAACACCTCCAGTCACTGGGTTCTGTTTTCCCCCATAAATGTTACTCAAAAAAGTGTTCTGTGGAAGCACTTGATTCAACCAAGTTAAATAGGTTTCTGTCCCACAGGACTTCCTCAAGGTGCCAGGGTGCTGAAGGGCATGATGAGTCTCCAGAAAAGGTCTAAAGTGTATCACATTATCATTTCGCAAATCTTGTTACTATCAGACCTTGCCACTGGTTCCTTGGGGATGGGGTGTGGTCCATGGAGCAGGAAGGAGGCATCCCCAGCCCCCCCATGATACATGACCTCTCAGCCTCTCATGAGGCTTACCTCCTTGCTTACCTCCTTGCTTACCTGGGGTGGTGGTGTTGGGGCATGGGGTGGGGGGAATCACAGCTCCCACCCACCTCCATACCTGCGATCCCTTCGGTAGCAGAGTTTAGAATCTGTAGATGTCCAGCAGGGGTGGGTATTCTGAGGATTCTGCTCATCTGTGTTTCCGTAGTTGAGGGTAAACGGAGGGGAGAAATTCAGAACTCCCCTGAGAAGGGCTATAGCAAAAAATTGACCAAAGACATTCTTTTTTCTAGAGACAAACACCCTGGATTCCCTTCACAGGGCTCTTTAGGTTTAGAATCCTGCCTGCTGGTGCGAGACCCACACAGGCAGCCTTATCCTTTGATCCAGCACAGGGCTGACTGTGAGGTTTTCTGGACGTGCCCCCATTGTCTAGCCAGCACCCCTTTATGTACAGTGGGACCACCTGGCACACCACCAAGCAGGCACACCCCCTCCACCCTGCAGTCAGAGGCCTGTCTTTCCTTATTGTTTGTTTGATACACATGGAAAAGATCAGGTCATTTTTTCTAATTCAAGAAATTTCAAGTTGCAGTAGTTTTGTTTTGCTTAAAATGTATCTATTATCTATCTGTCTCACTTTTTAAAATGGATTCCTGGTTAGAGATTAACAAATTATTGAGGCAAACAAAAGGATGTACATGGAAAAGTTGAAAATGGGCATGAAGAGGGAAAATTCACTTTTCTTTCCAAGATCCCTTTTCTGTGTTGAAAAGGAAGTGAACTAACATTTACTGACTGTTACCTATATCACAGGCACCAGGCTAGGTCTTCTATTTGTAGTTTGTTGCTGATTTCTCCACAGACTCTGAGTTAGCTCCTATTTTCAGATAAAGAAAGTATTGGGTTGGCCAGAAACCCAATACAGTGGTTTGGGCTTTTCCATAAAATGTTTCTGGGCTTCCCTGGTGGCTCAACTGGTAAGGAATCCACCTGTAATGCAGGAGACCTAGGTTCAATCCCTGGGCTGGTAAGATCCCCAGAGAAGGGAAAGGCTACCCACTTCAGTATTCTGGCCTAAAGAAATTGCAAAGAGTTGGACACGACTGAGCGACTTTCACACACATAAGATGTTTCTGGCCAACTCAACATCTCAGAGGGATTAAGTATCTTGCCCAAGGTACCAGAGCTAGTAAATGATATAACTGGGTTTTGAATCCAGATCTGCCTAATTTCAGAGCCTTTCTACTGCATAATGCTAGATGAGTGTATGGATGGATGGATGGATGGCTAATGAGATTGGTGGATGGATGGATGGATGGATGGATAATGAAATGAATGGGTGGGTGGATGGCTAAATGGATAGAATGATAAAAGGATATCCGGATGTCACAAATACTGATGTAACTTGTCGCTTTTGACCTCACCCAAAGTCTCCTTTTGCTAAAACACTGAGCATCTCAGTCTTACACTCACTGGAACATCTCCTAAAATGCCATGACCTTCTGTCCACAGGGAGCTTCCTCTACAGAAGGGAGACATCGTTTACATTTATAAGCAAATCGATCAGAATTGGTACGAAGGAGAGCATCATGGACGGGTGGGGATCTTCCCCCGCACCTACATCGAGGTATGCTGGCTCTGTCTCTTTCTCAGGAAAAGCCCAGACATGCCCAGAGCACCATTTATCTAACTTGTGTTTTGTTTCCTCCTTTCCTGTCATTTCCTTGCTTTCTGCTCTTTTCCATTGCCTCTTTTTTTTCCACCGTTTCTCAGCTTCTTCCTCCTGCTGAGAAGGCTCAGCCCAAAAAACTGGCACCAGTACAGGTTCTGGAATACGGCGAAGCCATCGCCAAGTTTAATTTTAACGGTGATACCCAAGTAGAGATGTCCTTCAGAAAGGTAAGCCACCCTCTCATACCACACCAGGGGACCCCCACCTTGGGGGGCGCTGTCGTCGTGGGGATGGGGTATTGGGCTGCTGGCCAGTCTGGTGGGGCAGTCGCACACCCAAGAGCTGTGCCCCATGAAGAATTGCATTGAGGGCAATTGAGGGATTTCTGCAGTTGAGTTTACTGATGAAAGGTGGTATTTCTGAAATCATAGATCCACCTCTTTTATAAACTGTATTCAATGTTTATTGAGCACCTAGTAATATGAGAAGCGCTGTGTTGGCAACTAGGTTATACAACGTTAATGTGGAGAAGGGAATGTCCTCAGACACCAGAAGTCTGAAAAACTTTGAAGACAAGAGTCATTGGTTATCAGGCGTGCAGCTTTTGGGGGGTTAAATAATTTTTCAGAGCTGTGATTTCCTCCTATGTAAAGTGAAGATAAATGGCCCTCTCCCTGAGCGGCCATGAGCAGATTGAATGAAGCAGCCTCAGGGAAGCCCCCAGTGTGACACATGACACCTAGTTGGCCCTTGGTGAGCAGGAGATGACACTGTTATCATTGCCTTCAAGGTGCTTGTACTTATTTTGAACACAGATAAGCCAGGTAGAGATACTGTTCTTTCCAGGAATTCAGAAACTCTCTATATTCGAAAATTCTCTGGCTGGCTGAAGGTACTGAAGTTAAGAATTTTACTGAGGATAGAGGGAAGTGAGGCTATGCCCTTGAAAAAAGATGAACCACCTTATAGAAAAAAGAAACAGTGGGAGCAACCTAGTTGCCCTACATCAGGAGACCAATAATTAAGCCATTATATGTATGTACAATAGAACACCTGCAGTGGGCCATTAAGCTGTGCACCGCCAGGAGAAACATAGAATTATATTTCTTGATAAAGAAGGATGTATACTGTATGTTATTCAGTACCAAAAAAGCAAATTACAAAGGGGAATACAGTGCATATTGTTTTTATAAGAAAAAAATATATGCAAGTCTAATTCACATGGAATTATCTGTACCAAAATATTACCAGTGGTGACCCTCAAGTGATAATATTATAGGTAGTGATTATTTTCTGCCTTATGTTTATGTTTTAATTTTCCTATAATGATACAGGAAAAAATGAAATGTTAGAAAAAGAACCCCCAAAACCTTTACCTTAGAGAAGAAGATTGGATATCTGTCTGTTTTGCATTAAGCGAGTCAAAACCACTAGATTTGGGGAATTTCCTGGTGGTCCAGTGGTTAGGACTATGCTCTCACTGCCAAGGGTCCAGGTTCAGTCTCCATTCAGGGAACTATGATTCTACAAGCTTTGTGGTGCAGCAAAAAAAAAAAAAAAAAAAAAGACAATTACATTTTCCTGTCAGCTTGGGGGAACGAGTCTGACCTTCTTTAGCGAAATATGTAAAGACCAAGCTTAACAGACTCCCAGCAGCTCTAACTTCTGTTAGCATCTCCATCTCAGTGGTGATTAATTTCATCCAGGATGAGCACAGAAGGTTTTTCTGATAGAAGAACGTGACAAGTAATGCAGGAGAGCACAGACCACAGGCAGGGATCTCAGACGTGCTGAGGTCTGCTAGGGCAAGGACCACTGCCTCGCTGTGTCTTGCAGGGCGAGAGGATCACACTGCTTCGACAGGTGGACGAGAACTGGTACGAAGGGAGGATCCCAGGCACGTCCCGGCAAGGCATCTTCCCCATCACCTATGTGGATGTGATCAAACGGCCACTGGTGAAAAACCCCGCAGATTACATCGACATGCCTTTCTCCTCCTCCCCAAGTCGTAGCGCCACTGCAAGCCCTCAGGTACCTAAGCTTCTCGCCACTGGTTTTCACACTCAGCACGACAAATCTAAGTGCTAATGGCACACAGCCCCTCTGGGGTGGGTCTGCAGCAGTGCAGAGAGTATACATCCCAGGGTTTGTTTTCATGTATACAAATGGCATTTTTCAAGAATTTGCTGGGAGAAATATTATCTCAGGGAAAAGGAAGCACTTAAGGTGATTGCTCTGGGGACAAGATGATTAGGGAGAGATGTGTCTTTTTCAGTTGGTCCAAAACTCTGTTCTGGCAGCATCCCATGCTGAGTGAAGCTGATTGTCTGGGTACCACTGCTGTCCCATACATACCATGGCCAGTATGTAGTCATCTTACTGGTCAAGATTGGCCTGCAGAATACAAAGACTGAAAGAATTTCACGTCCTCATCCTCAGACACATAGACCAGATTCAGAATATTCTTTGCAGTCAAGAACTGGGTTGCAAAAAAAACTTACAGCATCTCTGTTTATGGGCTGAAAGGAAGTAGATTTATAAGCATAATTTGGTCTTTGCTTCCTAAACATTAATTATGAACAAACTTATTTTAAAATATAAATTATTCCAAACCCATCCCCACTGTCCCAAAGCCAAGGAAAAAAACCAAACCTTGGGTTCAGGAGAGGCACAGTGGGGTGACTTCTGACCATAAGTGGTAAGTTACAGGGAGGATGGTCAGGGGAACAAGAGCAGGACCTGGGGGTCCAGAATGACACTTTCCTCTCAACCTCTAATGAGTTCCTCCTCTCTCACTTGCCATTGCTGACCCCAGGAGATAGTTCTTGGCTGAAAGCATGAGATAGGCTGACCCAAGGATTCTTTGCACGGGAGATCCAGATCCTGTGATCTCACAGGGAGAGAGTGGGAGCCGGGCATAGGGCATTCTGCTTCGTCACAGCATGAGGAACACTGCTAGATTTTATGCTTGACTGTAGCCAAGTGCAACTATGAAACAAGATGGCTACACTGCTCCTACACCTCTCTGGAAGGCTCTTCACTGAATCCCCTAGAGAGAGTAAATGCTCAAGAAGGGCCAGGAGCAAGGACCTTTTTAAACTCTCTTTACTGAAGTATAGTTGACGTACACTGTTATATTCGTCTCAGTGTACAGCATAGTGGTTCAGCCAGGCCACCTTTCTCTCCTCATGGCTCTGGGTCAGGGCTTCATTGCAGAGGCAGTTGGATGGAGTGGGGGTAGGGAGCTCCCAGTGTGTCCCTTTAAATCTGATTCTGCGGACCAGCCAGCAGCATCTGTTCCTGTCCTAATGGGACCCTTTCTCCCGTCTCCATGCCACCTGCTTCTCCATTCTCCCCCACCTGCACATACCCATGCATCCACACACATGGACCTGCATCCACATCCCAGGTTCTCTCCCAGCCCGACCAGATGATTTCCTTTCTGGACACCAGCGTGCCCTGTTCATCCTCTCCATTTTGTTCCTCTCTGGACATCCCGTGTGATTGTTTTCCTGCTTTATTCTCTGTGCTGACACTTGTGCCTTTTACTTCTTTTGTTTTCTTCTCTCTCCTTCTCTTTTGAAGTTTTCTGGTCACAGCAAGCTGCTCATGCCAGCCCCCTCATCTCTGCCCCACCCCCGCCGAGCCCTGTCCCCGGAGATGCACGCTGTCACCTCTGAGTGGATCTCATTGACTGTAGGGGTCCCGAGCAGGCTTCCTCTGGCCCTGACCCCACCCTTGCCTCCTCTGCCCGAGGCTTCTATCTACAGCAGTGACCCCCTGGCCTTGTTTGCAAGGCCCAGCTCCTCGCTGCCCCTCAGTCTTCCCCGTTCGGGCTGGTCGGACCGGTCCACCCCACACTCAGCGGTCTCCCCGCTAGCCCTGCCACCTCCGCACAAAGCCCACTCCCCAGCGCCCGGGGCCCAGGCCTCCCTCCACGTCAATGGAGACAGTGGTACCTATGTGCAACCTCCGGGGGTCCTCCAGGATAGCTTCTCCCAGCCGTGGCTTGGGCGATCTGACAGGGTCATCTCGGAGCTTAGCGACGCCTTTAGCAGCCAGGGTAAGCGGCAGCCATGGCGAGATGGAAATGGAGCGCGTGAGAGAAAAGCAGAAAGGGAGGCGGGTGAGAGATGCCCAGGTGGACCCGCCATCTCTAAGAAGAGCTGCTTGAGGCCGTCAGACGTGGTCAGGTGCCTGAGCACCGAACAGAGACTCACAGACCTCCACACCCCAGAGGAGAGCCGGCCCCGCCAGCAGCCCCTGGGGGGCCCTTTCTCGGGAAGGGAGGCTGAACGCTCAGAGCTGCAGAGAGGTGGTGAGCCGGCCGAGAGGAAGGCCGCTCGGACGGGTGCAAGCCAGGTAGGCCTGCAGCATGACCGTGTGTGCCCAGGCGTCTCGGGCAGCGGGACGGCCTCACCCACAGCCGAGTGGATGCCCGCGAGACCCGTTTGCTTGTTTGGAAACAAAAATATGACCCAGGAGGGAATGGAGGGGTCATCCATTAGGTTGTCAGGGCCGGAATAGCTGAAGGCCAGGGACAGTCTGTATTCTGGCCACTCGAAGTGATTCCAAAGTAAGCCACACTGCTGGGTACCTCCTGGCCTGGTGCGAAAACCCACAAGAAGGCAGGCCTTCCTCCTGGCCCAGCTGCACCTGGGAGAGGACCCCGGGTTTGCTCTAACACAGCTGAGAACACCAGGCTTCAGTTTGGCTCCGTGTGGTTTGGTTTTGTGTGCGTTGCGCTTTGTTTCCATAACCTGTGGTGCTCTGCCTGCCAGCGCTTAGCCCCGTCGGGTCTCCGTCCTGTCTCATGTTTATGTGGGAGCTGAGCTGCTCACTGATGGGCACATACGTCTTGGTTTGGGGGGGGATCGACCCAGTGCTGGGGTCTTTGAAGGACAGGCCAGGTTTTTAGGCAACTGTCCCATTTTCTGTCTGGGACAACTACAAAGATTTTGGGGTTTGGACTGAGGTGGCCCTAGGATGTTTTGAGGGCTTAAAAATTGGGGGCAGGTGGTGGGGAGGTGAATGTGGCAATTAGATCATGGTTCTAATACTGGCTATGCTGTTTAATACCCCAGAATTCAGAGCCTTTGGGTAGCTTCTTCAAAGTAGCTGAGTCTGAATGCCTGCTCCCCTTTACTCTCTAGTGATTTGGAATTGAGTTACTTTCCCCTTCTCAGCCTCAGTTTCCTCATCTGTAAAATGGAGATAATAACTCCCTCACAGTCTGGTTGAGAGGATTTCACGAATTGATGCATGTCAAGTGCTAAGCATAGGGGCTGGGAATGGAACACATCAGCACTTTATAAGTGGAAGCTCTCCACCTTGGAGCTTTTGGACCTGAGAACATTCTAGAATGTCTTTTGAACCAGATGGAATTCTTGAAGATGTCTCCAAGCCATTTATTATCTACTGTGCACAATGCCCATGGTAGATGATGATGTTTAATCTCAGTTTCCCTTTAAAGTGTCATTTACTCAACAGATACTCATTAGAGGCCTGTAGACACCTACCTCTGGGCAGGATACAGGGTTTCCCATTCTGCCTTTGAGGAGCCTGTGCTTCAGGGAGACTGGCGCACACAGCTGCAGAGGTGTGCCTGGAGGCTGCAGGAGCCTACGGCCTGAAGCACAGGTTTGGCCAGACCGCGGCCCCAGCCTGATGCTGGGGAGTGGGGCGTCATTGCTGCAGGGAAGGACAGCGTGAGATAATGGTCAGTAGTCAGTCTCTAGCTCCCCACCGGCTTTCTCCTGTCCAAAGTAGGAGTGCAATTTGTCTCTCACTCACAGGACAGTGTAAGGATTAAAGAAGGTAGGTGTGGTGCCTGGCAGGCGGGAAGGCTCCCTGAAGCGGGATGTTGCTCCAGCTCTGAGGGCAGTGCTGAGGAAATAGCCATACCTGGGGAAGGCTTTGCCTGGGCAGGTGTTCCTGGAAGGCATGTTCTGTGAGGAGAGAAGGGTGTGTCTAGTCAGGGAAAGAAATAATTTGCTGGGGGAGAGGTGGTGAAGCGACTGATGGGAAAGGAACAATTCTGGAAAGGTTCTAAGTCAGACCTTGGGGCCTGGAGACCTCCTCGTGGTTGGCGGTGAGTCACTGCAGCCCAGAGCCAGGACCCAGTGCACATAGGACGCGTACACAGTGCTCGGAAGAGGCTGGGGGTACACACCTCCCACTTCCTCACCAGGAGAGGAGGCGGCGTGCTGCCAATACAGAAAGCCAAGCTTGTTGAAAACTGGTTTTTCTTTCCTGGTGGGCCTCCAGGCCCCAGGTGCACCCCTTCCTATCCCCTCCCTCTTGCTCTCCCAACAAAACGCTGGACCCTGGCCTTACTCCATGTTGAGAGCCGGGGGGTTATGTGAAAACAGCTGCTGCCCACACACTCCGTCACCAATTCCTTCACCTTCCCCTCCTAGGACTGGGACCTGGAAGCCAGCTTGGGAAATGAGGTCCTTCCAAGGAAGCTTTCTGCCTTTCTTGAGGCCCTCTTGGGCTGACTGAGCGCAAGATGGGAAGGGCTTGAATAACAGGTATTCTCTGGTGACCCAGTGACCTCAGGCTGTGGCACTTACTTGAAAAAATGCATTCCAGACCTGCTTGTATTATCAAGAAAATTGTCAGCTGCTCTTGTCCTTGCTGGGGGCAAGGAGCCGAACCAATAATTCAACTCTGTTATCAGTGTTGGGGACCTAGATAGATATTCTGATCTATAAGTGGAGGGAATCTAACCAGAGAGCAAGAAAAGACACTCGGAAGTGTTTCGACCATTTCCTCTTCTATTTGAGTGTCTAGGATGTTCCAGGCACTATGCAAAGTGCTGCAGGAGGCAGAGAGGGGTGAGCATTGTCAGGGGCCCCCTGCTCTCAGGAAAGTCTCTCCTCCTTCCTGGGCTTAGAAGGCCTCATGGAACTGGCTGTTTTGACAGCTAAACCAGCCTCACCCTCCCAAGTCTCCCCTGCTTGTGCGTCTGGAAAATTTCCACCCATCCTTTACTTCTCCACTCCTTCCAGGAAGCCTTTCCTGCCAACTTTCCCCTCCCCCTGCAAGACTAGATTAAATGCTGGACTTTGTGCTTTCACAGCCCCCAGCACCTGATCTAAGGGGCACTTATCAACTCTATTGTATTTGTCCCTTTGTCTGTCACCAGCAGGGCGCAAGGGACCAGGACACCTGATAAGAGGAAGGTGCTCAACAAGTATTTGTTGAGTGAAAGCAAAGATACATTATGAATGACCCCAACTAAAGGAGCGTAGATCTCTACTGGGGGATAAGACATGTTCACGAAAATAATTATAAGGTAGACCAGGAAGGAGGGTCACAAACAGTTTCCTTGGGGAGTTCAAGATGAGGAGAATAAGCAAGGGGTGGGGGATGTGGGGTGAGGTGGACAGATTTCAAGAGAAAAGTGACTTCTGGTTTGGAGCTTAAGGAACTGGGAGTTTTATGATAGGTGAACAGCAGGAGGGCAGCATTTGAAGCAAGCAAATAGCCTAGCTAAGCCCCAGGGGTAGGAATGTGAAAGGGCAGGTGAGTTCTGGTTTCAGTGGGGCTCCTGTGTCCGCAGGTGGGGAGAAGGGGCTGTGAGCAAAGCTCGGAGGGCTGGTTGGTGCACATGTAGATACTGGTCAGCACCTCCTCACAGAGTCTGGTCATCCTCCACAGGTCCTGTGACCCTTGCTAACTGGTCATCCACATTCCCTACTTGGTGCTAGTCCCTATTCTGCTGCTTTCTTTCTCCTTAGTCACCTGTCCAGCCCATCCCACAACCCCCAACTCTGCAGACGTGTGAGCACTTCCTTGTGAAGGGTTTGACTTTTCACTCTTTTGTAGACTCCCAAGCTGATGTGACCTTGGGTTGGTCGTGCATGTTTTTAGCTAGGAGTTCTCTGAACAGCAGAAGGGGGTGAATGAGGGGCAAGGGGCATTTAGAGGAAGACAGGATCGATGGGAACAGTGCTGCATTCAAAGTTAGGGTTCCTGGGCTCTATCTCCTGCCTTGCCATGAGCCTGCTGTGGGTCTCTGGGTGAGTCACTTCCCTTCTCTGGCTTCACCATCCATAGACAAAAGATCTAGACAAAGCTGACTTCTTGTTAGTTTTGATAGTCTCTGATTAACTAAAAATCCTGTGTGAATTTCAGTTATAAGAAAAGAGAAGAAAGAATACAAAATTTTAAGTAGGGGGGTTTATAATAGACCTGTGGACCTTCATAGTGAAAAAATAAGTGTTTCCCTTTGTTTTTTGAGGGACAACTAATTGGACAAAAATACACAAAATGCCCAAGAGTTCGGAATTATCAACCAAGTTCCTGGGTTTTGTTGAGCATAATTTTGGCTAGGAAGATTTAGGACAATTGGTCAAGAAAATGAAGGGGAAGATGGTCTTGGGATTCTCCAGCATTCATCAATATTTTCTGAGCCTTCCCCAAGAGAGAAGCACTGTTCGCTGACTAGCCTCCAGATTTAGTTGTTAGGAGCTTCTATAACTGATGTAAGAGATCCTCATAGAATTTTTTACTTTAAAAGAATCTTTAAAGTCACTCCAGTGACTTGTAACGTTTTCTGGATCACAAAACTTTTGAGAATCTGAGGTTAGCTGAGTCTAGGCCAGGGGTTTGGGAAAGAGGGTGGCACACACACAATTTTGCATAATTATAACAGTATAATCTGGGGGAATAATTTTTAAATAAAAGTATTCAGGAAAGCTCTGTGTCCTCAAAGCATCTGAGAAGCATAAGAACAATACTACAGCCTTGGAGAAAGGAGAGTGGGAAGGGAAACAGGACAGAAAAAATGTGCTTTGGTGAGCTCAGAGGGAACAGCCCTTACCACATGGAGTAGTCTCCATGTAGTTCCCAGAACTAAGATAAGAAAAAAGGTGTAGGCCTGCCTTGAGCATAGAAATCAGAAATAAAAGGGAAAGCATGTGATACAACTTACAAGAATGAAAAGGAAATTTAAATGTTAAAACACCCACCTAATAAGGGGAAACATTTTCCTTTGACTCCCTGAGAAGGGAAATCTCTAAATATACACACTGTTCAACAATGTACAGGGTGGGGAGAGACGCTGGTTGCAGTCCTTAGAAGAATCACCAGCAGGTATGTATATGCTTAATAGTCAAGGCCCAGGGAACTAAGACCTGAAGTTTCAGTATCCACCCCAAAAGAGGTGTTAGGAGAGAAATGGAGGATTTCAGTAGAAACCCAGCTCATGCCAGCTGCAGGGCACGGGTGAACTAAGGTGGCCTCTTGATCAGCACTTCCATCCAGCTATTCGGATATCTCCCTCCGGCAGAGCACAGCCTGGCAGATCAAGCATGATGGGAGGTGTGGGACCTGGAGTCAGAGAGACCAGGGTC